TTTTTTTATTAATTTAAATTATAAAATATCAAAACTCTTAAATAATGTTTTTACCCTTATACACTCGTTACACCTATATATATATATATAGGTGTAACGAGATATATATATATAGGTCTGGGTGGTGGATGTCATGATCGGCCAGATCTTTGGGGTCGATCTTAGTGTATGGTGGTTTGAGATAAAAATTAAGTTTTTCAAATGGATTGTACCCGATAACCCATTTAAACCTATTTGATCCAAGGGTATTTAAGTTAATTGTATTTGTCAATTTTATATAAAAGGGTAATAAAGTCAATTCACCATTGTCATGTATCTTTGTCAATTTTATTAAACGTGAGGAGGGTGTTTTTTTTTTTTTTTTTTTTTTTTTTTTTTTTTTACCATGAAAACGATATCATATATCATTTCAAATGCATAAAGGCCAAGCCAACAGCAGTACAGAAACGAAAAAAACATACAAATCATGAAGTAAAGCAATAAAATAAAAAGCATGCACAAGATCTATTGAGAAAACAGAGCCTAAAACTCTGTAACGAAAGCCATGGGAGAAATGCAGCAAACTGGAGTAACCCAAAGGTTATACCATCATTAAGGCAACAGCTCCAAAGTTACAGCCACAAAGCACTCCAATACTCAAGAAACCCCGTACAAGATTAAATCAAGGCAGGAGAAAACCAAAACTGACCTAGACCGGAGATTTAGTCGGAGAAAACAACAAATCCGCCCATGTGATCCGAAAACAAACTCAACATGAACAGATCTAGCCAAACAAAACAAAAATGATATAAAAAAATACCCACGGAGCAGACTTATTGAAACACGCCGAATTTATTACAGTCATGAGAGGCGGCCATCATCTCCCCACTCCAATAGATGGGAGCAGGGAGACACAGGGTGAAGAAGATGAAGGGGGTTGTCGAGAGAAAGAGAGAGGTGAGAGAGAAAAAAGGAGCGTGAGTTATTATATGATGTCGTTGTTCAAAAATATGTTAACTTATATCTGGATGTCCTTACGCCAAACTTTAAGGAGTGTCATTGTATTCTAGGTTCAACTTTAATTGTGACAACTCAAATTAGAGAAAAGATTGTCTGCACTTATATACATGCATGGACATTCTAAATAATTAGATGCATTTTGAGAAAAAAAAAAAAAAAAAAAAAAAAAAAAAAAAAAAAAAAAAAAAAAAAACCACGAGGTTGAGTGGAATACTCTGGGCGAAAATTATTGTTTTGATAGTTTTGACATTAACATATACAAGTGAGACATGTTAGTTGTCAAGTTTTCAAAGGAGTTTTTTATATTTTATAGCCCTCCATGACCTAAGTGAAAGCTAAAAGTTTGACTTAATATATAATATATGGACTACAAAAGTAATATTAGAAATCAACAGCTTGTTCAAATTATGCACTTGTTCTCAATAATTTTAATGAATTCTCGATGTGTGATGTGTCCATCGAATATCTTATTATCAAAAGCAAACGTGAGTGTGACAATGTCAATATTAAAAGTAGTCAAACATGTTATGGCCTTCTAATATTGAAGCAAGAAAGGTAGATGGAGGCATGTTCTTCAATAATTTAAGTAGAATCATATTATAGAAATTAGAATTTCGCCCCAGATTCTAGCCAACCACCACATTCACCAAATAAAACTAGTATGAACATATAACTTAATCATCTTAAAATAAAACGATTTGACTCAATAAAGTACACAAAGTTAGGATAAAAAAAATAACAATTCAGAAATATTCTGCTTTATTTCAATTCAACATGGAACGGCCTGTTTGGTTTAGTTTTTAAAAAATAGTTTATAAAAATTCAACAATTAAAATTAAAAATAAAAAATAAAAAATATTCTGCTTTATTTCAATTCAACATGCAGCGGTCTGTTTGGTTTAGTTTTTAAAAAACTCAAAAAATAAAATAAAAAATTCAGAGAACTCATAAAGTTTTTCAGAAACTATCAACCAAATAGATTGTTATACAATTTTCAAAAAATAGAAAACTGGACCAAAAAGGCCCTTGATTTTGGAGTATGATTTTTTTTTTTTTTAATTTAAAAAAAAAAAAAAAAAAAAAGGAAGCTCCTCAACGCTCTTTAAGATCATGAAAATTAAGGACAAAAAAATCTTATTCTGTTGTGCCATGTAAATAAAAACTCTTTCTGTTGTAGCATTTCTGCATCGATTGAATGTATTAAAAATTTTGCAAATTGATTTAGAGATGATAAAGTTGTACAAGGATTACACAAACAAAATATGATAGTTTGTGTAAACAGAGAAGACAGAAATTCCTCATTTAATAGAATGTATTGTGACAGCAGAAATATGATAGTTTCTTTTGCGTATTATTACATCTTAAAGACGGTATAAACATATATACGTATAATATACTGTCACATACAATTGCATATATATTGGTAACTTCTAACTTGCATACTAATTTTATATGTTCTTGTTGATTGTTTTAACTGCACAACTGTTTCCTACAAGTATAGTTTCACTTTCAAGATCTCCCACGGTCACTTGGTCATGACCATGGAAGATCTTGTAAAATATTGCATTCATAGATACATTCAATATCATATATATATATATATATACAAGTTTATTTCCAAATTGTACATGTCATAGAGGCAACATTAATTTTGCCTACCCTGTATTATCTTATCTAGTTAGAGAAACTGTAAAATGTAGAAAGCAAAATAAAGGACAATGGTGCTTCAGCAATAACTTACTCTGCTGAAACCTAAATTTACACACTTTTTCCCAAGAAAAAAAAAAGAAATAAAGAATATTGCAGAAGTGAATAAAAAAAGCTAAACATGTAATTGATTATAAGAAAGAAAGGGAATTACAACATAAACATGTAAAACAGGAGGGAGGGATGATCCAACTAGCCATAAAAGAGACAGTTAAATGGAAACAGATGCCAAGAGCTAGGTATATAAGGCATATGCACGCATTGCCCTCGGACATCCCTAGTTTTCCAAGGAAGGGGTGGAGTAAAGCAATACTGCATATCGTTGATCTTTTATCCCGACTACAACCACATTGATTTCTGATATTTTCAGAAGCAATTTGGTAGAATCAGAGTGAGAAAGAAGAGTCTTTCTGATGGAATTCAATCTTTTTTACAATTGTATTGTGAAATGTCAATGGCACATTGAGGATCTGATATTCTAATGTGTATTAACGAAACAGTAACTAAATCCTTAAAAACTCTGCTTTTCCAGGAGGACTTCCTCATGGATGTGCCTAATTAACTACTGCCATTCCTGAACCAGTTCACTCACCATGTGGATCAGTAATTTGATTGTTAATTTGTTATTTTAAGGGTCTTAAAAGACACCGGGTTTTCAAGACTCACCATCTTTTATCGTCTATTGACATAGCATTCAACTAGAACCGACTGGAAACACCATAAATTTTGGGAATATGTAGACCTCCTCTCACTATAATCCATATTTTTTTTGAGCTATTTGTCGCCTTTCTACTTACAAGAGTAGTATTGCACTTTTCCTGATATTAAGTTAAATGCATTATGATTCTACCAAAGATGCCAAGAAATATTGATAATTTTCTCAGGTGTTGCGATTTTCTTGTGTATTTCCTTAGAAGTCATTTCTTTAAATTTGGAATGACCTAAAGAACTGGAGTAAGACATAACAAACACAATTAAGGTGCCATGCCTACTGCAACACAGATTAGTGAATCAAAAGATGCTTCAGAAACCCATCTCCTTCACCGTATATTTGAGATTACAAAAGATTATAGATATTTTTTAAGACAGATTGTTGATTTGTCAACAATGTAATCTGCCGGAATTACATTGACAACTGACACCGTGATATTAGAACCTACTCTTAAGTACCAGAATCAGGGACTGATGATCCACCTGAGATAGTTTAATAAACCTCTCCAAATCCATGGTATAATCATTTGCTTTATTGATGAAATCAAGAATCAATCTCTGGAACCTCATTTATGTTGTAGAGGCAGCCTAGATCTATGCTCACTCTGCTTCATGCCTATTGTTTTCACCATCTAATTCAACCAAAGCATTTAAAAAGAAAACATCAGAGCTCAAAAACCGTGTCCTGTATTTATTCAAGAACACCTAACTTGACTGCTGGAGATCCCAGATTGCCACCCTATTGTGCTGGCACTGCTCTTACCATCCCGTTTCCACTGGGTGATATAATCACCATTTTAACGTACTTTCTACATATTTATGAACAAAAGGGAATTATTTAGTTTAAGGATTTAAACCCACAATTTATCTTCCCTTACATGACCTCCTCATGTTTCTTATAATTCGTTCAATGCAAATGCTATTATACTTTCTAGTTTGTTTCCAAATGTTCTATAATTTCTAAAGTACAATGCACGGTACCTTTTACTCCAAAAACCTAAGCTACTGCTTGAAAACCGTTATGAAATTGCCAGGATATTAAACAAAAGCTGTGCCTTTATTATGATTATTTTTTCGTAGAATGTTAATTCTCACTCCCCTGAAAACCGAAGGGAGGGGAACATCTGGACTCAGATAATATATTACATAAACAAAGTATCACTAGATTCTCGAAACTACATTAAAAATGACATCAAAAACAGGAGGAACTAGTCTAACGAACTTTCAGGAATGTGCTAGAATCTATCTTAGGAAACAGATGGAATGGATGTTCTTACTTGCCCTTCTTGTACAAACCAAAAAACCTTGAAATAAAACTCTTTGGTTGGTTTAATACATATGATTAATCATCAATTAACAAAACCAGCAATAACAATGCATAAAAAGTCACATATAAGGAACAATTTCTTCCAGTGGATGTCAAGGTTTGTAACATTTTATTGTAGCTCATCAGGGAAAAAATAATAAATAAATAAAATAAAAAATTGTTCACTGATTCAAGCCTTTCAAACTCACTTCTTTGATATTGTAGCTAAAACTAAAATGTGATACTATCAAATGAAGAAACTAATTAACTGCACCAATCCAGAAGTATCAATCAACCCATATCAACTCAAAAACAGCATTTTAAGAGCATTTCAAAATTGCATTTTACACATAACAGTTGGCAAATATATTCACTGTCCTTGAAAAAAACTACAATGAGAATTCACAACATGGTTAAAGAGTACCTTCTCAGATAATTATAGACAAAAGGTAATGCCCTGCTAATAAGCTCAAGCCATGGAGAAATCAACATAGTGATGATAATAGATCATAAAAGTTACCATGAAAGGGTGTAGCCTTGATCACATCAATTTGAAAATTGAGTTCAACCCCTCTACTCCAGTGTATGAAGGAAATCAGAGGATGGACTCATTGCAGAGCAAGAAAATCAAAACCCCAATTGAAATCATCAGTTGATAGGCATCTTACAGCGTTTGAATTCGCCGAGCAGTTCATGATCCCAAAACCCAACAAGGAATTGGGCAAGTCCTTCAAGAAACACAGCCGCCTGATGAACATTAATGGCTGCCATAATCTCTGCAAGAACACTCCTCCGAAGCCTATTGGCATCCACGAAAACACCCCTCATCTCCTCCATCTGAGCCCTCATGGCCTCCCCGAGCCGCTCCTTCACCCCCTCCTTCTCTCCTTCACCCCAATCAACCGCCACCCGGGCCACAAACCCTGCCTGCACATCCCTCACCCGAACCACCAATGCCGGTACCAGCAGCCTCAACCCACGTTCAATCTGGTCAATTCGGGCCATCAAAACCCTAGAAGGGCTCTTCCACGCCATCACAACATTCCAGGGCCTATCAAACAATTCACAACCTTCCCCAATTTGAATCCCACCACCACCACTATCACCATCGTCAGAGTCATCGTCACCGTCGAGAAATGATCTGAGGAGGTTGATGTAGATGTAGGGGTGGAAATCGCCGAGCCAGAGGAAGGGTTTTTCGATGGGATTGCGCCAATCGGGGTAGAGAAGTTGCGCGACGTCGTGGGAGGCGGCGAGGTCTAGGGCGTCGAAATAGGCTTGGAAGTGGCGGTGGATCATTTCGACATGGGCGGAGAGGAGACGGCGGGAGAGATAAACCGAGGACATTGATTGGCGGAGGAGGGGGAGGAGGGTGTTCTTTAGGGTTTCGATCCATTCAACGTAGTAGTCCTTGAATGGCCGTGTGGTCTTCTTGCGACCGAAGAGAGCTGTTTGGGTGATTCATCCATGAAGAATCAAGTAATTAGCAAATGGGTTTCATAGATGTGTGTGTGTGTGTAAAAGAAACAGAGGAAAAGACGTGTGGGTGGGTGGGTGCATAGATAGATATATAAATGTATAGAGAGAGAGAGAGAGAGAGAGAGAGTACTTACAGACTGCTTTGAACATCTTGGGAAAGATGTAAACGTTGAATGTGTTCTTGGGTTTCTTTCTTCTGTAGCAGAGAAGAGAATTGAAGCTTTTGATTTCTTGAAGGAAAAAGAAACAGACGAAAAGGTGTCTGTGTGTGTGTACACACACAGATATATATATCTAGAGAGAGAGAAATAGAGAGGACTTAGAGACTGCTTTGAACATCTTGGGAAGATGTAGATGTGGAATATGTTCGAGGGTTTCTTTCTTCTGTAGCAGAGAAGAGAAGAGAATTGAAGCTTTTGGAGGGAAATGGAAGGGTTTCAAAAGATCGTTGCTTTTTTTTTTTTTTAACGACTGGGCTAAATTTGGGTATTGGGATCAAGCTATATAATACTGTAGTTGTTGTTAAGGGACTGTTTGGGAACTGAAAATAGGGGGAAATCGAACAAGAAGATAGAGAGGCGAGGTGGAATTGAAATTAACAATTGTGGTTCCAGTGAAACCATAAAAAGAGTATGGTGTAACGAGTTGGGCGAATCCGCCTTGGATCAAGGATTAATTTTGTCTCTAATATCAAATATTACTATTAACTTAAAATTTTAAATTATTGGATAGTGTTGCATATTCACCGTACATACTCAATACTCTTCGTCTGAATCCGATGCAAGAAAAGAACCTCGGCATAAGGCTTATATAAATTCACTATTTTAAAATATTTTGGCATTGTTTGGCATAGCAAATGAATCAAACAACTTAGATTCAAATTAGCCAAGCCCCCTCCCATTTCTTGCTTTTTTTTCTTCGAAGTTCAGACAAACGCGTCCACCCTGCATTTGGAAAAAGATAAATCAAACTATCAAAACTTACTAGCTTTTGATAAGTAAAAATTAATATATTCCATAAGCCAACAAAACAAACTCGAGAAGCCCAATTGTCTGAGTTTCACTTCTTAGAGCTCAGCTCGCGTCACGTTAAATCTCGTCATAAAAAACAAACCAATAAGAGACCTACTATTGTGTCAGTATTTAATTGCTTTTAGTGATACCATGTCATCAACCTCGATTGAGCTAAACATTTCTCTCTTGTTTTTAATTAAATATAAGAATTGCAACATTTTTCTCTCTTACTCCTCCACAGTATTTAACAATTACAACACAACATTTATGGTAAAGAAGTTCCAAATAAAGATTGACGAGAAAGCACCACTTACTGATATTTGAGACTGAGGAAAAAGAATAAAATTTATTGATGATCAAAAAGTTTGAAAATAACTAAATCCAAACAAGGGAGGTGAAAGAGACTACACGATCAGGCTCCACAAGAAACAACATTACATATGGCTCAAGAAACAACAACACATAGGACTCAGAAAGCAAGAGTTGGAATGCCGGTTTAGGATGGATTTTCTTCTTCCATCTGTACTAATCATCGGTAAGAGAGAGAGCATTTCATCCCCATCTAACTATAGCAGAACCCCATGTAAGACCGGCACCAAAACCTGCAGCTGCAATAGTATGACCCGACTGTACTTTTCCACTTCGAACAGCCTCATCCAACGCTAATGGAATGGATGCAGCGCTTGTATTACCATAATTTGCTAAATTTGATATGACTCGTTCAGATGAAACTTCTAAACGTGTTGCAACTGCGTCAATGATCCTCTGATTTGCCTGCATTGACAAATCCATTTTAGCATTCATCAAAATTCGACGTAAAGGATTGCACTAAGAATGACTTCAAATTGAACCTCAAATACTACACTCATGTAAAATGCTTTCCTCTAAGTATCTGATTTACCATTGCACAGATACCACATTAATTTCACGACAAAGCAAAAGAACTCTTATGGAGACTCGAACTCTCACCTTTCACTTGAAGGTAGAGGAGATACCACAGGGCTACAGCCCTTGGTTCTGGGTGACTGAGCCAAAGAATACGCAAAATCTTTGAACGTAACTCCAACTTAATAATTCTTCGAACCGTCGTATATTCTTTTCAATATTATGCATATATAACATTTCTTTTAATTTTTTTTTCACCAAGGAAAACGGCACTGTAAATCGATTTGACAGCCATTGGATGTCATTGCTCATTATAAGACAATATAGAACACACTCTAGAGATCGAAAAAATATGTGGAACTGAATATCTGCGCAAACACTCACCCCATCACCCAGCTCACGCAATTCCCTGTGTCTGCTATGTGTGTGTGTGTGTGTGTGAAATTGTTATCATACCTGATGTAGCAATAACCAATCTATGCTAGATTTAGGGAGACCAGCCTTTTCAAGGGCAGACTCAATTGACTGTGGCACACATCGACAGGCAAAGCGGAAGACCTCTTTACCATTCATCTGGATACAGGAATAAGAGTAGCTTCTTGGAGAGAAGCCTAACACTGACCCGTTAGAACCCGATGCATGATCCACTTCATTTTCTTTCATGGTGGCATTCAATTGCCTGCATAAGAAGGGGAAAGGCAGTTAAGCCTCATTCAGCACAAAGGGGATTATAATACATCACTATCCAAGGAGATGATAACACAAACCTTTGGCCATCACCATCACTATGCATGTCAAACCCGTATAAACCATCCTCCTCCGCATCGCAGGCCTGTAGAATTATTCTGATATCAGTATAGATGCAAGAATATTTCTCCCACTGACATGAACTTTTTGTTGAAGAAAACCAGAAAAATATCACTTCCAAGCAACAAGAACAGGTTATTCTAGACACCATGGCGGGCGAGAGACAAATATGATGGACTGGTTAAAGGCATCCATTATACTTATTCTAACATCTTAGTTCACCTGCAGAAACAAGGAATGGAGAGATGGTGTATGCAATGATGATACATGAGGTCTCAAGGTGCATAGGTTGCCCTATGGGTGCTTGAACCTCTTCCACCGAGGATTGTGAGATTTTCAAAACAAAGGAAATATATGATGATACATATATGACTAATTTCCACATTATTAGTGTACTTTTAAAAATGATGTTATGTATGAATAAGATTAAAGATGTAGTCTATCAAGAGAATTTAATTTAAAAGTATTTCATCAGAATGGGTGTGATGAGATTATGGCTCAGTCCTTGTTTGCCAACAAGGTTGGGCTAGTTGCGGATCTGGCCACTGCAATCCACGGGCCCAGGTGGCACGGGACCACACCCATGAACTTGGAAGTTTCTACAGCCTTTACCTTGAGGACCAATCTTATAAATGGGAGTGGAAATGCAACTTGGGGAGGACAACAAAAAAAAATAAAAAAAAAAATCTGGTCTATGATAGGCATGGACAGTTTTTATTGTTGCCTGGGTTGCAATTTTTTTAAAAACCTCAATTCGGGTTGGCTATGACGGAGGCCAAACCAAGCATGAGCCGAACCCCATTTATATTATTATTAGTATAATTATTAAAACAGTAGTACATAAGCCTAACTGAAGCGTAATCTGACAGGCTAAACCAATCTGAACTTGACCCACGCAAGTTCATAAAAAATAAGCTAAGGTTAAGCTCAAGTTGGGCTCATTGGGTTGGCCTAACTGGAGGTCAGGTTGGCCTCAGACTTGAGTTACGAGTTTTGTACTTCGGGTGGAGCTTGGGTGGACCCCTCAAAAATCTGTGCAAAGGCGCAATCTACCCAAGTTGCACTCCTAGATAATCCTGTAGCCTCAAGTCTCATGCAAAGTACAAGTCTTCACTAGTTACACATTTAAGGCCAGACAACCTTACAGTTTGAACAGTAATGGTGAACCTTCAAAAGTTTGCACTCAGAAAGAAAAAGAAAAAAAAAAAATAGAACTAAATTCAAAGACAGGAAATTGGATAATTTTTAACACTAAAGCATCATGTTGCCGACCAGCCAACAAATCTTGTTTAGACATTATTTTTCAGACTCCAAGAGGCAGCACAAATTAAGATAGTACAAAATCCTATGAGTTGCCGAACGATGTTGAGTGGAATCATAACATGAGGGGTGTTACTGCAATTGTGCACAATACATTATAAAGAGTAGCAGTCAGAGAGATCCCTAGCTATATCAGTCTCCCATTTCTACTATTCTGCATTTACTTTCTCCTTTGCACAAGCCTTAACACCAACTTGACAACAGAGCATCAAGACCACAAGAGTTACCTCTGCCATTCAAAATTTTTGGTAGCTGCCAGTGTCAGCATGCAAGACCTCATGTTGATCCTATACCTTTAGACTCAACGTCTACATCTCTGCCTGTACCCTATTTATTGCATCATATTTGGTGTCTTTTTTTCGCCGCGGTTAGAGATAAAAAGGTTGATATGGAACCAACCATTGCATTTTCCACTTTCCTGCATTCAAGTAATTCTGCCACCGCCCTTGGTTGCTCCTACTTCATCTATCCCTCTTGAATCATCAATTTTTAGGAGCCTCGTGTGACATTACCACATGCCATATTTATTCACATCATTATCCTTGCCTTTATCCCATATGAAAGGGTTTGGTCGCATGAATTCTCTTTCTTCAATTTTTTTCAATTACAAATCATCTCTTCTGTGATATTTAACTTTTTAAAATCACTTTTTATGATTCATCCCACGTTAACTTCGGACGTCCTCTTTGCCTACTACCTTCTGTCCCAATTAGTCTACCTCTTCTTACAGGAACATCTATAGATCTTCTCTTACAATACATGCTTCACTCGAGAAAAGGTGAGATTGGCTTCTGGTTCTTTAAATCTATGCCAAGCAAAGGTTCAATTTCAGTTTCAGATTCTATTTTTCTTTCCATTCAGTGTGTGTTCCTAGTTTTTCAACAAATCTTCAATCTTGTCAATAGCATTACCACAGCTTTGGATTGTAATATAAAGCTTTCTCCATCTCATTGCATGCTTCAGGACGTAGCAAATTGGCACTAATAGTAAGAGGGTGGCCTTTACTTCTTAAACTATGAAGCTCCTGAACTACAACCAAGGAATTTTATCAACAGGTCAAGCTCCTGACAAGTCACTCCAATGGCACTGAATATTAGGCCAAACCACCATTTTTTTTTGTTAGATATAGTGTTTTCTGCCTTATTTGTCAATATTAATGGCCTTCTTTTAAAAGTGATGCCTGTGTGCTAGCAATAAACATTTCAGTGTCCCTTATCCTACTTGTTTGAATAGAAACCCTAGCTCCTTTCATTCTTGTTCACACCAATATACTAGAATTAAGGTATTCCCAGAACGCAGAAAAAAACAACTATCTGCTTATATACAAGTTCATATATGTATGTTACGCGGGGGGGATAGAGCCATTACCTGCACTAATACAGCACCAGCAGCATCCCCAAAGAGAATACAGGTCCCTCTATCCGTCCAATCAACATAACGAGAAAGAGCATCGGCACCAATCACAAGAACATTGTTAAATCCACCTCCTACAGGTTAAAGTTGGAGTTAGTGTAATAACCATGGAAACAATAATTGAAATGTCAATACAGTAAACAAATTGTTACCCCTTATATGAGAAGCAGCAGAAACTAGACCCAACACAAACCCGCTACAAGCAGCAGTAATATCATAAGCCAATGGATTTCTTTTGCAGCCAAGTGCTTTTTGGATCTGACATATGCAGCAAAAAAAGTAGAGGAAGAACATGCAAGAGTCTTAGTTATTATACCAATTCCGGAAAAGATTTATTCGAAATAGACAGTAATATTTCAACTAGATTTGGTTCTGTGTTCAGTGACAAGCTCATACATTGTTCACTAAAAAGTGGACATAAGAGTACCAAAGTGAGAAAGCCCAAAACAAAGGGAAAGAATGAATTCTCGACTATACGATTAGTTAGCAATCTAGATTTAAGGAATAGTTTGAAGCCCTTAACGATGGTACTACGCGCAATACCATTTTTGTAAAATAAAGTAACACGGAGCTAATTATAGTGTCTATGAAAATACATTTACAAGGGAAAACCTCCACTAAGAGCATAACTAACTTAAGTTCCAAGCCAACAACTTTGAGAGAATAAAATGTTGTTGCTGTCCCACAGTTTTTTTTTTTTTTTTTTTTCTTTTTTGATATGTATCACTTTCCTACAGTTCTTAAAGATAGAAATAAAGTTTTTAAAGAAGAAAACCAAAGTAAAACAAGTTAGCCAACTTATCCATTAAAATGCAAATTTACTATCCCCACCTTATTGATTAACAATGTGACCACAATAATAACCAACACAGCTGATACCTTTTTCATTTAACATAGGTCAATACGATTTCTTATACATGCTTTTACTAATTCAAACAATTCAAGAAACCAATGCTCATTAAGGTTCTTAAAAGTTACTGGTAAAGTGTGTTTCCCTCACATCGATTATGAAGAGTTTTGGATCAAATTAAATATTGCTTACAGACAGGGCAATATAAGACTGAGCTGGTAGTCAGCAGCTTGGACTATGCTGTATAAGAGATTCATTCAAGCTGGTACAACAACTAACTAAAAAGTCAAGCTTGAGCAACATAAGAGACGCTTTCAATTAGGCTTGTTGATATGATCTTTTAAGATAGCCAGAAGGCAACTTTCTAAAACAAAGCACTTTAAAAAGATAGTCCTTAAAGAAAAACTGGCTGTAATATCAAGCCATTGAGTTTGAAGATTTTCATTTTTTTTTTTTTTTTAGAAATATGCTGTAATTGTTAGTTTGCCTTGTTGCTTTAAGGGGTTTGGGGAGGACTGCTGGATTAGGATAATGAACAAGCTTGAGTGGACATCCGAATGTGACTTTGATATATTCTCTCACAAAACCAATTATGTATCATCAATAACATTGGGAATAAACACAGGCCACATATACTCCAATAACAATATATAGACAATATATTTCATACTTGCTCCTCATATGCACATACATTCCCACACCAAAACAGATATAGACATACACACAAATACAATTTTTTTATACTTGACTTTAATATCACGTTCTTCAACTTGTTAAACTAGAACAAAGGACATATGTCAGATTCCAATCCCATGCCTATCTACATGCAAGGGTGCTTAGAACACAGAACCATTCATTACTAGATGCTTAAAGATATTCACACATATCAACCTCAAGTACAGTTACTACTATGTTTGGTCAATCTACTTTCATATTTTAATAATTAATTTTTTTTGCTAAAGAGCACCAAGGGAGAGCAATCCAAGTGGTCCACTTCATATTATCTATTAACTTATACCTGAGGAGCACTGCCAAATAGATCCTCTGGAGTCGACGTACACAACAAGACTAGGTCCACATCATCGGGATCAACCTCTGCCATCTGAAGAGCTTTACTTGCTGCCTCTACAGCTAGAGAAGTTAAGCTCTCTTTCCCTGTAAACGCGCAAGTCAGAGCCAGGCCAGGTATTGTTCGGAAGCCACCAACAAAAAAAAATATGATTTCCATGTTAAATCTCATGGAATAAATGACAGTAAGACATAAGAACGCCAATATGTTATTTATATCTGAACAATTCGTTGAGCAATAGATCATTCTAGACATTAAGTGATTTGGCACAACCATAAGATAGATCTAGCAAATTTCATACCACAAAAAGTAAATCAGTTACATGATCCGTTCATAGATAGTTGGGATCAAGAAAGAATTGAAATTTGGCACAAAAAGATCTTGTTGGTTTAGAAACATCAAATGGCAAATCTCGAAGCCCAAATGACCATATGACTGCATATGAGAATTCATGAGGAAAAGACAAAACAAAAGGAAAAAAAAAATAAAGAAAACAAAGAATCTGTAGAAATGTCTAAGCTTTGGCTGGGTCAGGAATACTAATATTCAAATTGGTTTGCAATCTCAGGCTTGTCAGGGATGGGTGGCTTCAGGCCCCACACAATCCAACAATATAGTTTTTGCAATCCAAGCCTAAACACAAGCTACAAAAATATAACTATATGAGTCTATAAAAATCAAAGCTAAAACCAGAAATTTTGAGTAATTAACCAAGCCAATCAACCCCAGCCAGGCCAGCCTTGTCAAGCTATAAGCACCTCCCTCAGCTTAAGCTAAGATTCTGACATTGTAATCAAGCTCAAGCTGAACCAATAGCCTGTGATGCTAACTCAAACTGTCTATATAACCACACACATGCATGCACTAATTGTAAAACTGACCTGTAAGAATTCGTCGATTACGAATCCCAGTGCGGACAGATATCCATTCATCAGAAGTTTCAACAATATTTGCAAGATCGTCATTAGAAATTTGAAGACTTGGTACTGCAGAGCCACACCCAATTAGTTTGCAGCCTTTACTAACGAGCCTGTACAAATTCATTTTCAAATTAAAACAAATGAGGAGATTTTTAACAATAAAATTTGCATATAATTTCTAGGCTCATCGCATAGAACTAAACAAAAACAAATATCAGCAAGGCCAAGCAGCCAGGCTAATTTATGATATAAACAATGCAAACTTTGAAAAACAAAATGAATAGAAGGGTAACAAAACTATAAAAGATCTAAGTTCAATGAAATTGAAAAATATGAAATTCTACCAAGTGAGCCCCAAAATAATGGGGCCTTGAACAGAAAACCTTAAATAGCAGCACTGGAGCTTGAACAATCTGCTCAACTCCTAAGTACCAAAGAATATGCATACATACACAATAGTTGCACGTGTATGAGACCATCTAAGTTGCACGGCTACTTCAGCAATGGAATCGTATCCATAGGATAGCCAATAATGTTCTTAAATATTCGTAATTATGTCTAAAGGAACTGCAATATGCCACATGTACAGGGTCAAATTCATGAGTTTTGCATAGTGTTACCATATCTGTGGTGTCATTTCCATCACTGAATTTTCTTTAAGAGGAAGTCAGTAGATTAACAGCTTCTCTTTTATTGCCTCTAAAAAAATTAGAACTAAGGTTTACAGATGCAATAAGAAAAGATTTTTACATGACCTTCAATCAATAATATAGGTGGATAATTTAATAATATCATTAAAGTTAGGTGGAATTTGACTAAATATTTCAACAAACGCAAAATTCAGAGCCCAAATTGGCCTTGACAATTCTTCCTTAATTCAGTTAGAAGTTTGTATGGGTTTCAACATTTAGGCAAGGGTTTCATATTTATAACTTGTAAGACTGCCAAGCAAAGTATAGAATAAAACTCAACATTCAACAGTGTGGAAAAACATTCTGACAACTAATTGTTAACTAACAAAGCTAGAATTAACGTGTACTCCATCCATCCTGTGGCAAATTTCCAAGGTACATGTTCCTCAGTCCAATACATTGTCTTCTAAATCCTCAAACTTCATAGTAATCCCGTGGGTAAATTTTACAGCACCATTATGTCATGAGCTCCTATAATGCTATTCCTCAAAAAATTGCACCACAATCAGTATGTTGACAACTAAAAGAACTCCCCCGTATATAGACTCTTACCATGCATGAAACCTTTCAATACTAGGCACCTGTGCAAGAGGAATAAACAATCTCGCTCTATCAGTACGCTGACAACTAAGGTACTCAAATTTAAAGATCCAACAATTAACAAATAAATAAACATGACCTTTACACGAATCATTAGCAACAGTGAGGTTCTTATGTATTTATGCTCATTTTATCCAATTTCATTTTCTGGAACTACCATAATCGTTTAGTCCGATAAACCTTGTGCAACAAAAAAAAACTTAAGAGAGAGAGGGGAAGAAAATGAAATATTCCCTGTACCTGAGCTTGTGGACTCTAAATTATTCCATGTTCAATTCCAATTGCCCATGCAAAAGGATAAAACTCTTCCTCTCTCACTTCACTGACAACTAAGGTACTCAATATCAAATAAATTCAACAGTTGGCATATAAATACAAGACCTCCACATTTCTCATCACCAAAAATAACAAACACCATTCCAAGTCTCCTACAGTGTATCAACATGGAGAACCAGATAAAATTACTAAGCCCAAATGAGATGAACCCATTTCAATCAGAATTCAAATGCACAAAGAAATATTCATTTGATTTCAGAAAACAAAGCCAGAAATTTGCAACCCAATTGCATTAAAAACCTACTCAACTAAGAAATCATAGCCTGATAGACATTTAAACAAAACCCAAATGATCAATTAACAAAAAACTAAAGAAATCAGGAAGAGAACATACCTGGGTCCTCGAGATTTTGATGGGGAAACGCCAAAACTAAGCTCCTCTGAGCCCTCAATGGTGGCGGAGCAGAGTACCCTTTTGGAGGTACCCTCAGGGGAACAAAACCCAGATCGAAATATGCCTATAGAAGGACGAATCCTCCTTTTCAGACTTGGAACTGTAGGTGAAAAGAACCCAGATGCATTTGCCATTTATAGAGCGAGAAAGCAAATGAAACTAGAGAGATAAATTACTGTGTCAACAGAGAAAAAAAAAATTAAGCTAAATCTCTAGCTTATTGATGAAAGAACAAGAATGTGAGAAGTGTATATAGAGCCCATGAAAGGTTTATAGATAGAGAAAGACCAATAGATACAAAGAGAGAGAGATTAATAAACGAATAGAGCAAAGAATCAGAGAAAAACAATGGTTTACAGGCTTTTTCACAACCTGCGGAGAACCCGAAGATGAAGAAGAAAGGCGATTATGCCAACCCAAATAGAGGAAACCCCAATGCCAAAACTCAACTCTCTCTCTCTACTTTCTCACTCTATATATATATATATATTTATATATATCTCACTCTAAAATACTATGGTTTTAACCAGGGGAGTCACTCATGCACTACTCTCCTGTTTCGAAGATTTGATTTTTTCGATACAATCGAATTTCTTATGATTGTATGTAACGAGCAAATAGTAATGAGACAAGGAACCAAATGGCTGCATTAGCCCTTGACGTGTACAAAAACTATTGGTGTGGTTTGTGATTGTTATGTGTTTGATGAGTGCAGAGAATACAAATCTCAATCTTCTTGTTAATCCTAACTCTGATCCTTCTTCCAACAAGACAATGAATGTTTGTTTAGCTACATTTGTTTTGATTTTGTTGACTTTATTCATGAGTTCTTCCAATGAAGGTTGTTTATTGATTTAAGCTATGAGCATAAATGTTCTACTTGTATCTAAATTATTAAAATTAAAAATATAATTTGTTTTTCTTTTTCGTTTTTTGTAAATATGTACAAATAAAATTTTTGCGGAATGTTTGAAATGGTGTGGTTGGTTTGTTGGTGAATGCAAAGTAGACTAGGTCGTTTTGGGAAGAAGACTTAATGTGTGTTAAAAAATATGGGTGAAGTTTTTGTGATGTTGGGAAGTTGGTTATGCTACTTTCAAATATCAAAAAAATTAACATAGGAATGTGATATAAATGTGTTAAAAAATATTATTCTTAAAATAGTTGTCCATCTCATTCCAAAATTAGATGTACTATTTTTTATAATATTTTCAAATTATTATTTTAACTAAATAATTATACTAATTATGAAGCACTATTTTATCTTTTAGTAAGGATAGATTTGAAACTTCACTCTTATCAATACAATAAAAAAACTATCAAAACACCACTACCATAAAAAGTTAGATTTCCCATACACGACATATATTTTGGAACAGAGAGAGTAATAATATAATGTATTATTATATATAATAATAATAATGTTTACTCATTCTATACAATCATAAATTAAAATTTTAAAGCTAAATGTTTGTTATTTTATTTTCTTAAATTTTACTTCCTCCGTCCCATATTAGTAGTTCATTTTTCTTTTTTTATATGTCCCAAATTAGTTATCCTTTTTGAAAAGTCAAATATCTTTTCATTATATTTCCATCATTATCCTTTATCTTTTTAAAAAATTTCAAACTTTGGTGTTATATATTTAATATTTGAAGGACAATTTAGTAATTTGAAAAGGGAACATGCATTAATTGCATGTTCCCTTAAAAACTTATAAAACCAAAGATAGACAACTAATAAGGGACGGAGAGAGTAAATTATGTTTCTAATTAACCTATAATATAATGTTAAATGCATTGAATATCATTCTTCAAGCAGATGTCTCGATAGCCAGTGGTTAATACCTCCGGTGAATTTTGAGAGTGCCAAGTTTCGACTCTTTACACCTACTAATCTTACTTCTAACATTTCTTACCTTGTAAAAATAAATAAATAAATAAATAAAATCATTCTTCAAAAATTAATAATTACTATAAAACTATCATGTCAACGTGTCACTATTGTGTTTCAGCATTGTCCAAAAAAATATATATATATTTAAATTTCAATACACCTTTAATCATGTAAGAGTTGTGGCCCGTCCAACACATGTCTGACACTACCACGCCACCCTTATTTGAATGGTCGGTGTTTTCTAGTTTGAGACACTAAAAATTAGAAGACATCTTTTATAAATCAAATTGAATATTTAAGTAAGATCAATAAGAATGCAGAATGTATCATTTTTCCAGTATATGAAATTTTGAAGTTTAACTTATGTTTTGACGATTGGTTCAATTAAACTCTCAAATTCAAGCTTGTTTTTAGTCACATCATAAGTGAGACCGAGCTAACATCCATAACGCATAAAAAAAATTCATAGAGTAATTAAATAACTTATTTTAACTGTTTATTTATCAAGGGTTTTGTGGTCCAGTGGTATCTCTCAAGTCTCAAAAAGAGCAAAGTGAATGCATGAATAATGTGTGTTTCCTTCCTAAAAAAAATATGAAGTGATAAGTAATTTGCAGTTTGAAATATATATATATATATATATCTCGTTTTGAAAGAAAAGAAAATAGCTTCAGGGAGTACAAATGCTTGAGTGTATCTTGAACGTAGAGAGGTTAAAAATCAAACTGGGGCATGGCTTGGTATGCTTATTCATAAAAAATAAAAATTAATTATATTCATCACTCAAATTACATATGAGTAAATCATTCAACTAAACTCATTCGTTGACGCCAAGAATTGACTTTGTGTTGGTAAATATATGATTCATATGACATTTAAGATATAAGTAACATTATACTAATATGTCATAAAATAATTAATAATATTTTAAAAATAATTAATTAAATATATAATTCGATATTTAATTAAACATTTAAATTAAAGCAATAAAATAATAAATAAAGAACTTGGATCGAAACTAATATTGGATACTATATCCTTAAGATGATTTACGCCCTGCATGGTGCTAACGGACTCTATGACCATGATACAATAGTTTACATCCACCAGTAAGAGTACTACAGACTCATGTAATCCAAATCAAATGGTTCGGACGAATCTTAATATGCCTCGATGAAATTAAATTAGGGTCTAAGTGGCTCAGACCACTTGACCTATGGTTTGAACCCACTTGGGTTGGGTTCAAGTCTAGAAAAGGAGAGAAAAAAAAAATTGAATTGAACGAATTGCAAATAACAGCTCAAGGGGTAATTTATAGAAATAGAAGTGCATTTTCGGATTGAGCTATCTTAGTGGACACAATCATCTATATGTGTCTTTTCATCACTGAATACAACCATATATATGTGTCTCTTCATAACTAGACACAACCATTTATATCACCAGACACACCAACTGCAATATGTTATAATGATTCACATTGAATATGTTATGTCTGTTGGTTGTATCTTTTCATCTCACAACCAACCAGTGATCACATGTGTTCAGTCCAAGGCATCTGAAGACTGATGAAACAATTTTCATTCATAAATTTTATACACCCTAAGTCTATTATTGCATAGATCGAGGTATCTAATTATTTTGTTTATCTCTTGTATAAAATGTACCTAGGGTGTATAAAATATACTTTTACAAGTGATAGACAAAATCGTCATTTTATTAAATTTCGCCAATAGGTCTAGCAAGAAGAAAATAATAGAAATGTCGTTAAGTATATGCTTCAAATCTCAAAAAATTAAAATAATAAATGTTAAACAAGTTATCCTTATGTAAAACAGAACAGAAATTTGGACTTTTAAGAATAAAAATTAATTCCATAGGATCAAAATGTTTTTGTGAATTGGAGTAAAATTGACCTCTATCATTGTTTTCTAGATTAAAATGATATACTTTATGTAAGAAGTGAAATCGCTTAAAATGATTGAAGGTCAGTTCACAAAAGAGTCTTTTTCATCCATTCATATCCAAAAGTAACTTTTTTTTCACCCTTTGATTTGGAAAAGTTGTCGCCCAGTGTCCTGCTGCTCTAGGCTTGATAAAACAAGTATGGCTGTTCAAATTTAGGTTGGATTGGAGCACGATGACGGAGGACGGTTATGATTGTTTACATGTGTTATAAAAAAAGTCATAGCGATATCATTTGTTGCAAATGGGTGACAACAAGGTTATTACTTGATGTGAGGTGAAATGATGTAGGACATTTAATTTAACGGTATAATCTCTCCTTTCTAAGAGAGAAACGAAGATGTTCAAGGTCGAATACAGGTAAAAAGTATTCTTTGAACATGTATGCAAAATGTAAGTAGATTGAATAGTAAAATGGCACATCTATTTTTTGTACGTGAATAAGTTTGATTTGGTACAATTAATGTGAAGAGGTTATCATGATCATTATTTGGTTTAGTGGTAAAAAAATTAAATTGACAAAAATAATTATAGAATTTAATTTTTGATAGGACCTTGAAGACAGATAAGGATCAATTTCAACAGTGGTAGCAAAAACTTAAATGCCATTTGTTTGTGTTGACCAAAGTACACTCCCAAGAAGTTCCAACTTCCAACTATATTGATAACTGCTGATGCTTCTAGTCACTTTGAAACACTGCCTTTGTTATAAGTGATGTTTGGAAGAACGGATAGATAGTTTTAATTTAGAATTAAGGTTATGTTCGGTTGCATAAAATTAGAATAGATGGAATTGGAGAAAAATTTTCAGTAATTCTGAACTAAATTTTTTTTTTTTTTTTTCCAATTCCACCCAATTTAATTCTAAAGCTCCAATTCTAAGCAATCGAACATAGTCTAAAATTTTTAGTTCAAATTAATTTTTTCTTTTGCAAAAACTGAAAGCTATTCACGTTTGCAATAAGCAAACAACAGGATTAATATGGAGCTCTGTAAATTTGAGTAAAATTAAAAAGGAATGCCAATTAAAATTAAATTAGCCTTTGAGTTGGTGTTCATGTGTTTAGGTTGGTGATTACGATTTGCTCTAAATCCTGGTCCCATCTTCACAAGTTGTTAGAAAAGCGATTAAAAACGAACATAACTTTTATGTTATTTGTGGAAGTATCAATTCCACGCTTTAAATTTGAAAGTACCCAACTTATACTATTGAACATAACTTTGGCTCTCATCACAGTTATCAATTTAAATATGATTAAGATCGATCTCTAATTCAAATAGTCTCTATTTACATATAATTCTCTAAAAATCACGAGTTTGTTCTCGAATGATGCCATTAACACTTTTATCATACATTCTTTGAATTCGAAAAATGCTGAACTGTCGATTTAGTGTTGTATGAATGAGGCGTGAATTTCACCACATGACATCACACATTGAAATCATGTAATGAGACTTACACTATTCTCATTTACATATTCTCTATTCGGTACCTTCTAAATTCGAAAGATATATCATTTCATCAAATGGTGGATTTCAATGACCAGAAATGTAAGTTTATTCCAATTAGTTGAGTAAGCCTAAGTTAAAATCTCCTCTTCTCAGTTTTTAGTTCATTATTTATATATATATAATAAAGTTTTTAGTATATTCTGGCAATTTAATAGATAAATTTTAGAATTCTATATATAATTAATGTCTGAAAGGTGGAAATTTGGAGGGAGATATAAGAACTTGTGGTGGTTTGTCATAAATTATGTACAGCAATACAGCTGTGGCAAAATTGGATGGCCCTATAAGGTAGATGAAGATCCGTTTGAGAATTGGGACCCCAATACACATACCCATACATTTCCAGACACACGTCACACAGTCAAGTGACTCGAATTTAACAACATAAAAACATATTGGTATTTTCTGCTACATAGAGTTGAAGTCTTGAAATTAAAATTGATGAAAAAAAAAAAAAATTAGTTCAATTTTTATAATTATTTTTTTTAAATTCCATTAATTCCAAATTTAAAACTCTAATTCCATAGAACCGAGCACACCTTTTTATTTATTTCTAACATAATTTTTCACTTTTCTATCTTTTCTGCTTTTTCTTATATATATATATATATATATATATATATGCCCAAAAAAACCAACATCTCATTTGATTTCGAGAGAACTGTGCAATCTTAGTCCTTAATTCGTGTGTCTTTTACTAGCATTTTTTATTCGGAGAAGGATCTGAACATCTATTCGTTTTACCTAGTAACTATCAGGAAGCACCAGTGGTCTAGTGGTAGAATAGTACCCTGCCATGGTACAGACGGGGGTTCGATTCCCGGCTGGTGCAATTTCAATTATTTTTTTTTTTTAAATTCACAAACAACTTAATTTCCGAATTACACTATTTAAAATTTTAAAACTGCATTTGATTTATTTAACTCCACAACCAATGGCCTAACAACAGTAAATCAGAGGTGCCATGGACCATAAACTTCAACTAGCTGCTTATTTTTAAAATGGCAAGACAATAGAAGCACTGTGTTGAAATACATAGAATACTCCTTGCAACAATTTCATTATGGGATGTTTGAACTTTGAACGTATATACTAAAATATTTTGGGGTATTTATGGGGTATCACCAATCAATTGACAGTCATATATTCTTTTTTGAAAACTTTATATTTTTTTATTATCATAACAAATGAAAATTTTCGATCACTTTCTATTAATCGGGATACCACATGTAAATATCCTGAAGTATTGTATACTTTCTCGTTTTATAGCATCTTCAAAATATACCCATCCGTCTGATTTTGAGTACACGAAACCATTTCAAATGGATTTTTCTAAGAAAGAGACTGAAAACGAGTAGACCCAACAATCAAACGAAAGGAAAGGCCATTGTTCACAACAATTGGCCATTGTCAAATCTGTGATCTAACTTAGGAGTAGACATGTTCACATATGAAATGCACTGGTGATGTGAATTTTCATGAAAAGGACTTGGTGTTCGTACTCGTTTTGTGATGGATCACATCGCTCCCATACGTGTATGCAATCATACAATACCCCTTCAAATTTACCAACCTCCATTTTTAGAGGTTTCCAAAATTCCTGAACTCAATACCCCTTCAGATTTAGAAAAAAGCAAACAAATTCGAGGCTATCACTTCATTTTAGTGCCAGAATTGGAACTCTAGTTTTTTTTTACCTTTACACTTCAAACACTTCACTTGATTTTTTGAAAAACAAATGTGTCAACTGTTGAGTTGCGGAGTTCGATCACTAGCTCGGATTACAGTTTTAAAGAAGTCTGACTAATCATACTTACGCAAGTTGAAGACCATTGGTGTCTAAAGGAGTTCAAGTTGTACAACACAAAATTTACTTGCGTTGGACTGCGTTATGGTAGAAGGTGATCGATCGCACTTAAGTTGGACAGGTCACACTTACCCAGATTCGCACTATTGCACGATTGTTTTCGTGCCTTCATTCGTTGGGCTTATCCAACATCAACTCTCTTTTTAAAAGCCGCAAGTGGAGTTATTTAAAAAATAAAAATAAAAATAATAAATTAAGAATGAGAAAGAGAAAATAATAATAACAAAATAAAAATAAAAATTTAGGTCAAAACATCCTTTATTTCATTTGGGCTCAGGTTGAACTAAATGACTGAAATGAGAGTTTGCTAGGCTTTCAAATGACAGGTTAAAAGGATATTTCCACATCTCTACTTGATATCCCTTTTGATCACAGATCAAACTCCAACAATCAATTTCTTGTTTAATCTCTAAAATCCATTTTTGTCAAATTTATCCATTCAAATTCAAATATAACACAATATTGTACACTTTAGGTATGATTCTTTCAAAATTTTACGCACAGCACCAGTGGTCTAGTGGTAGAATAGTACCCTGCCACGGTACAGACCCGGGTTCGATTCCCGGCTGGTGCAATTTTTTTTTCAATCTTTTGTTGAAATATCTGTGTGTGCGTGTGTCCATTCATTCTGAAACAAATAAAAATCTGCATTACACTTATTCAAACTGGATTTCATTTATTCAACTCCACAATCTAATCACATTATTGTTTATGATAAAAACAATGGATAATGAGATATCAAATGTATTTATATAGTACATCTGTGGCACCTTACCACAAAACTAGACTGTGGGGGGTTTGAGATTTGATTATTGAGAGAGGCATCCATCAAGATGTCCAGTTGAAAAATATTTTACAAAGTCTTCATGAGCCTGCAAGACCAAGTGATCATCATCCCACTCGTCTCGGTATGTCTCTGGCCGAACTACCTTATTCTTGCTGGTTGCTGTATACATTTGCCTTCTCCATTCTTCAATGCCGGGGCAACCACACTCAGCTGCAAGCCAATCGTCGTAGTCAAACTGCAGAAGAACATAGAACGTTTAACATAAAAATGTGTATTAGAGCCTATTTCACAAAGGGATTGTCTCTCGCATAGACAATGAGTGGGAACGAGAATGTTCATAACAGAATCGGCCTATTAAACAAAGGACGGATATTGGGTATAAGAGACGAAGAAATCAATAGTGGTTGTACGTGCGCTGAAAGGGGCACCAAAGATTCAAAAAGATGAAAGAAAAAGAAAATTGTAAGAAATTCCATATTTTGGCAGATTATGACACTTCTCAGATTATGGTCCAAACATAGAGCCATATTGAAACAAGGTTTTCAAACAGACTAAATCCAAAATCTATAATGAAGGGAAAGGCGGTGATTTAGCAAACTTGTGACATAAAATGCATTTCAGACTACTGGAGGATTATTATCATTTGACGAGCCATGAGTCCTTGAAAAGATTTTCCACCTTCAGTGTCAACTTATGCTAAGAAAAAGATAAGCCAAATTCTGAAACCCTCAGTGTGACATTATTATGACCCTCTAATGCATGCATGGACTTTATAAAATTGCATAGTCGAAGTTACAATATTCAAAACGTCAACAAGACAGTAGATTTTCAACATTCTATATTAGATCACAGTTACCTGATAACCAGAAAGGTTATGAGTGTATCGTTTTGGAATTCCAGAAGCTTCCAATGTTGAGTAAAAAGCTTCAACATCTGCCATCATATCCTCCGTTGATGGAAGAGTAAGTCGGCCGGATAAAAGACCTGCTATCCACTTGCTCTGGTATTCAAACAAAGGGAAAGGGACAACCTGACACCAGCAGGTACAACGATTTATTTCACCATGAAAATTGTTAAATTGAATATCCCATCAAAATAAGCTTGTATTGTGTAAAGAAGATTCAAACCTTCCACGGCAACCCAATGAAGGAAAGCCACGGAGCTAAGACTGGTGGAAAAATGTGCTTGTATAGTGGCCCCACACGATTGTCATTCACAGTCACAACACCATTGGTGTCAAGAAAAGGGAAATGATACTTGTACCTGAAAAAAAAAAAAAAAAAAAAAAAAAAGTTAAGAAATTATCAAATATGGATCTCTCTTGTTGTTCCTCTGTTGTTGATTTCCTTCTAAATTGAGACACACCCCGTGCAGTGTAGAATAATGTCAGCACAGAAGGAACTCCCATCTTTGAATACCACGGTACCTTCTTCACGGACACTTTCTATCTGCATGATTTTAGTTGATATCAGCATTTTTTATTAAACAATCTTGCAGAATTATTGTGAAACAATTCCCAATATAGGCTTCTTATTTTAGCCGCCATCGTTTTCAAGTTGCAAGTACTTTTACCATAGAATGAAGCCACACGTTATCATAGCTAGGCAACGTTCCTAAAGTTGTATCTGATGATCTAGATGCAATGTGAACTTCTTTGGCAACTCCGGCAATCTCTCTAGAGATATCAACAGCACTTGCAGAGCTCCCAATCAAGATTACAACCTGTCCTTCGCATGAAATAACGAATAAGAACTTGACAGAGAATTTATGTGCGTGACAGTGAAAACTTTTTTTGGTTGAGTTTGATGGAGATGAGTTATGTAATGCTTCTTCATGTGTCGCTAAGGATTGTCCGTTGTCGGAGAAAGAAATTGATTAGTATGTGAATGTGAATATCCAATTCGGTGTAACTTTATTTCTGAGTTCAAATAGAGAATGAGTTATCCTTTCATACCACGTGAACTACAGTGTGAACCATAAAGTTCAAGTTGCTAGGGGGGAAAAGGATAGATATATTAGAGTTTGTCAACACCAAGAGTGTCTTGGATGCATTTTTTCACTAACCAGCAATGTCTCTCGAGATATCAGTAGCACTCGCAGAGAACTTTTAATCAGAATTACAAGTTGTCCTTGGCATGGAAGGATGATAAAGCGCGTCGTAGCAAAGACATTTTATAATCAATAGGGCACTGTCCTTGCTACTTGTTTCAGTAATATGCATTCTTTTTACTAGAGTGTATTTCTTTCATTAGATAAGTAAATTAAAATAAATTCTCTAATTATGTTATAATCGTAAACAATAGAGTAGACAATGTAATGCCTCGATATGATGCAATATAAAAAAATTGAAACAAAATAATTCTAGCATACCTGATCTCGGAAGGGCTCGGGAACACGGTAATTGTGGCTATGAAGTTGCTTTCCTGGCCACACATCAATACCTGAAAGGTGCCATCAAATATTTTAGAAAGGCAACCTTAATACGGAGTATCATTCATCAATACAAAAAAGTGTTATTTTAGTATTTTAGAATGTTTATGCCTATTTTTGAACGTCAACTTTCACAGATATTTGACAATCAATGCATGAATGTATTGTATTGCTTTCATTAAATCTTTTTATTAAGATTCTTTGCTGAAAACATGATAAAAAAATAGTTAAAAGTAATCGAAAAGACAAAGATATTAACATAAGTATCATATCATTCTAGAAAACCCCAAAACACATAAAACATGGCTCAGACATCATTCCCATTCACAAAGACAGATCCATTAACATACAAATACAGATTAAAAATTGGACAGTGTTAACTTGCACCACAGTTTGATGCGTATAAAGTTATAAACTATATATAAAAAAATAAAAAAATCAACCCATATGGCAAATTTGTAATCCCCAGACAAATTATTTAACGAAAGTAACATCATCAACTCATTTATATGACAATAAAAATAATTTCTTTCAAAATTGATTTCTTTCATAAACAAGTTAAAATCCTCTCCATTAACCGGCAACGGCGCTGGGACCCACTGTCTGGTTGATTGCAGTCCAGAATACAGGTAAAGACACCCAAAATCAATCCAAATTAAGAACTTCGAGTAAGTACAGAAAACTAAATTGATACTTTTAAAACCAACAAATACCATTCTCTAAAAGCATATTAAGCAATCTGATACATGCATATATATATATACACATATGTATAGATATAAACATATAAAAGTATATGTACTTATCGAACCCGATTGACTAGTCTGATCATAAATTAGTATAGAATCCCAAAAAGGTGATACCAATGTTCGAAACATTATTGGGAATTTCAGCAATTCGGGGATCCGTAAAATGGCCATTACACACAACCACGGCATCATAAATCTCATCCACTTGATCATCCCCGCCAATTCTCGACCTAACCTTCCATTTCCCATCCTCCAACAGGCCAACATACCTCACATCACTCGAAAACCTCACCAACTCACCGAGTCCAAACTCGCCCACAAAATCATTCAAGTAATCCAACACCTCCCTGTGACCCGGGAACCTCCTCGGGTCCCTATGGCCCTTCTTGGTGGTGACAACAAAAGGGTAGTCCCGGAAACCCATGGCTTCTCGGGGCAGGTTGGTCCGGAGGGACGCGTAGAGGCTGGAGTGGACCAATTCCCGAGACGGGTCGAGCCCCAGTGGGTCCGAATCGGTTTTGGGATTGTAGATCCACGTGCCACCGGCGTTGGGCTCTCTGTCGAAGACGACGACTCTGTGACCTTCTCGACGGAGCTCGCGTGCGGCGACTAGGCCGGCGGCGCCGGCACCGATAACGGCGACGTTTCGAGGAGTGAGTGGAGGCATTGGAGGGAAGTGAAGAGTTGGTGTTGAGATTGTCATGTCTTGCTCTCTACGACTATGACCATAAATATAAATTAAGGGGAGATGAATCTGGACTTTAGTATCAGGTGACGACAATGATTACCAACTTTTCTGTACAGTAATTAATTTTGGGCAATGCTGATGAATATGGGCTCATTTCGTGAGCTTCACATACAACTCGAATGATTTGATGCACCCAATATTTATTTAACGGACCGTGAGCCACCACAATAACTCACTTTCCTTTATAAGGTTATTCACACAGTAATTATCATCACCATCGTTAGCATTGTCTTGATTGTCAAAAAAAATGGTACGTTATAATCTAAACTGAAATTGTTATTAAGGTGTGAGATCGTCGACAGTATTTTAATTTGTAGCATGGGGTGAATTCTGAAGAGACCTGCCCAGGTGAGTTCCGGTGGCAATCAAAAAAAATTGGTCATGTTGAAATTTATTTATTTATTATTATTCTATTATTACGAATCATTTCAACTCCAATATTTAAATTTTTTTCAATTATTTTTAATAATTTCATCCAATCTTAATAACAGACACCCTGCTTTCCACCTCCTAATTAACCTTTCCTTTTTCACCGCGGTATTTATTTAGTATCTCTTATCTTATTATAATACATTTCACACTTAATTTCTCCCTCAAATTTTGATTCCTAATTTCATCTCTTGTCAATCATCGTAATATTTTCATTCTTTTTTAAAGTCAAACACTTACCTAATAATTGCTCTATAAAATTTCTTTTTTATTTTATATGACATTCCTTAATCACACAAAATTTTGGTTTTGTTTTGTTTGTCACTTTTAAAATAATTTTGTGTTTAGAGAATTGAAAATTAAAAAATTATATAAAAACTCTATTTGATTTATTTTTAAAAATTGTTTAATTATAAAAAGATATATTTTTAAGATAACTAACTGTTTTTTATAATTTTTTAAAAACAATTTATATTTTATAAGTTGTTTCATAATTACAAATTAGGCATGCTGTTGTCCAACTTTCCTGGAGTCATGTTAATACGGAATGGAGGGATGCCATGGTTTTGGAACTTGGAGTGCTGTTGTCCAACTTTTCGGTATTGTGCTGTTTATTGCGGTCGCAAATATCGTTTGCCTTCTGAATATTGTTAGTAGCATTATGTCATTTGTTATTATCTGTTTTCGTAACGTGAAAGCTCCAAGTCTTCCCATGGTAGAGCTGATTAGGAAGGTAGCATGCACATATTTATGTTCTTCTCTCTCTGCTTTAAGCGTGCTCCTCCGTATTTGTTGCTTTGCTGATTATAAGATCTTTCTGTTTGCCCAGATTGAAAAAAAAAAAAAAAAAAAAAAAAAAAAATAAAATAAAATTACAAATTATGCATGCGATTTTATTTTGACTGACTTGTGCCAATGCTATTAGCATGCCCGAAGTTGCTGAAGACTCCAATTTAGACTTTAAGGTTAAAAAAGACAAACAAACAAAGAGAGTAAGAAAAGGCGGACAAAGATGCAAAAGAAAAGGCACACCAAAAGTCAATTCACAACAACTGCCTTAATCGAGAATTAAGATCTAGTTAGGAGTAAACATATGATCAGATGCAATGTGATGATGTAACTTCATGAAAATGAGCCGTGTTACTCTTCTATTGTAAAAAGGGTGGCGGTGTCCCGAGTGATGAAAGGAACCTCGTGTCTTTCTCCTCCAACTAATTATCAAGTTAAAAACAAATAAAAACATTCCTTTAAATTTGACCAAATATTATATTAAAATATTTTTCAAGAGTAAGTATCACTCAAACCTCAAATTATTTTTTCGTCAATAATTCAAAAGTTGTGAATAAACATTTTTATCCTCATTTCTTTATTATATTTTAATCCTAATATAATAAAAACATGAAAGGACTAAGTTGTGAATGAACATTTTTATCCTCATTTCTTTATTATATTTTAATCCTAATATTAGAAACATGAAAGGACTAAGTTGCCCATCTCACTCTCAAATGATAACCAATTTGCAGCACCTCTCTATCATACATATACACGTATTTACACACATATACATACGTATACACAGATATACAAACTAAATATATATATATATACACACACACGCACATTCTCTCTTCTATCACTATAATCAATTTAGACACATTCTCTCTACTATCAATATAATCAATTATAACAAGTCACACACTCATATTCCGAAAACACAAAAACAAAGAAATTCCGCAATCAAACTACCAAAATAAAATGGACTAAAAATCTGAACTATCTCGTGGTTGGATGGATAAATGTTTGGAATTTTGCAATTATTTTTTTAACAAAAATCTTATTACATGGAATCCTAATTTTTTTTAAGAACGTGTTGAGGGGGTGGGCAATAAATTAGAGTTTATCAACACCAATGGAATCTCATAATGACAAACTTGATTGGAAACCATTGCCATAATGCGAAAATATTTAAATTAGTGTTTGGACTTTTGGCTGATGTTTACAGAACCCACCCAATTAGTAATTTTAGTATTTAGTAGAAGCCCATCTAAGCCATTGAGTCTATTTTACATATAGTTTCCTCACTGGCCCAAATCATGATTGCATTTAAGCCATTGGGTTAGTTAAAATAATAATAATAATAAATAAATAAATAAATAAAACCCAAAAACATTAGCCGGACGAAGCTGCATCGCCAACGGCAATAAACATCATTCTTGCATGGATACCATTAAGCTGTTCTCTCTCTTAAGAGCATGCATAAATTCGAAGTCACTGAAACAAGGCAAGCTCATTCACCAGAAAGTAGTCACTTTAGGTCTACAAAATAACATTGCATTGAGCAAAAGTCTCATCAATCTCTACTTCTCTTGCCACTTATTTGAATCTGCAAAGCTAGTTTTCGAAACCGTTGACAACCCGTTAGACATTTCTTTGTGGAATGGCCTTGTAGCAGCTTACACCAGTAACTGCATGTTCATTGAAGCTATTGAGCTCTTTGAGAGGTTGCTTCACTTTCCTCATCTTAAACCGGATAGTTATACATTCCCAAGTGTTCTAAAGGCATGTAGTGGCTTGGGCAGAGTTGATTATGGCAAAATGATTCATACCCATGTGATCAAAAGTGGGTGTTTCTCAGATGTTGTTGTTACTAGCTCTTTACTTGGGATGTATGCTAGGTGTAACCTTTTTGGCTCCGCAGTACAGCTGTTTGATGAAATGCCTGAAAGAGATGTGGCTTGCTGGAATACTCTAATCTCTTCTTATTATCAGAATGGACAGTGTGAGAAAGCTCTGGAATTGTTTGAAAAAATGAAGGGTTTTGGGTTTGAGCCTGATTCGGTGACGCTGACGACCGTTATATCTTCCTGTACAAGGCTTTTGGATTTTGAAAGAGGGAAGGGGATTCACAAAGAATTGGTGAGAAATGGGTTTGCTTTGGATGGTTTTATTACCACTGCTCTTGTGGACATGTATGGAAAATGTGGTTGTTTAGAGATGGCCAAGAAGCTTTTCGAGCAAAACCCAAGAAAGAGTTTGGTTTCTTGGAATTCCTTGATATCAGGCTACAGTTCAATAGGTGATGTGAATTCATGCATTGAGCTTTTTCGGAGGATGAATGCAGAAGGAATTAAATCCACTTCTACAACTTTAAGTAGCTTATTAATGGCTTGTTCTAGATCAGCCAAACTGCAACATGGAAAATTTATCCATGGGCATATTATAAGAAACCATTTAGAAGCTGATCTTTTCATCAATAGCTCACTTGTTGATCTGTACTTCAAATGTGGAAGTGTTCAGTTAGCTGAAGTCGTCTTTGGAAAGATGCCAAAGACAAATGTAGTGGCTTGGAATGTAATGATTTCTGGGTATGTGTCAGTAGGTTGCTACTTTAAGGCTCTTGGCATCTTTGCTGACATGGAACAAGCTGGCATAGAACCAGATGCCATCACATTCACTAGTGTCGTAGCAGCTTGTTCACAACTAGCAGCCTTAGAACAGGGTAAGGAGATTCACAAGTGTATCACTGAAAGCAAGTTGGAACCCAATGAAATAGTCATGGGGGCTCTGCTGGACATGTATGCTAAATGTGGTGCTGTGGATGAAGCTCTTAGTGTTTTTAATCAATTACCAGAGAGAGACATTGTCTCGTGGACTTCCATGATCATGGCTTATGGGTCTCATGGCCAAGCTTTTGAAGCTTTGGAACTTTTTAATAAACTGCAAAGAACCAATACGAAACTTGACAGAATCGCTTTTCTTGCAGTAATGTCTGCATGTAGCCATGCAGGATTAGTTGACGAGGGCTGTTATTATTTCAATTTAATGATTACTGATTATGGAATCAAACCTACAATTGAAGACTACTCATGCTTGATGGATCTTCTTGGACGTTCTGGGAGACTGCATGAAGCATATGAGATTCTCCAAAACACCCCCGACATTAAAGAGGATGGTGGATTGTTAAGCACATTATTTTCTGCTTGCCACATGCACGGGGAATTGGAATTAGGGGAGGAAATTGCAAGATTGCTAATTGAGAAGGATCCTGATGATCCATCAACTTACATAATTCTAGCTAACATGTATGCTTCCATGAAGAAATGGGATGATGCACGCAAGGTGAGATTGAAGATGAAGGACCTTGGATTGAAAAAGAATCCTGGGTGTAGCTGGATTGAAGTTAATAAGAGGATTCAAACTTTTCTTGTGGAAGATAAATCACACCCAGAAGCAGAGATGGTATATGAATGTTTATCATTTCTTACCAGTCACATGGAGAAGGACGAACTGCTGTCATGTTAGAAATAAAGCACGAGTATTTTCAATCCAGAAGCACCTGCGTTGATATAAAGCTGGACATAAATTCCAATCCCAAAAGATTTGACCGTACGTGTTACACATTGCAATGAGTCCAACCCCATTCTTTTGGCATAAAAGGCAAGGATGATGATGATGATAATGTTATATATTCTCATCAGAGAATGCAAGTGGGTAAGCATAATAAAGCTTCAAAAGCCAAACAGATTCAATTAAAAGCTTTTGGCTAGCAATTCTTGCATCCCTCTCAATATGGAACCAAAGAAGAGTAATTCTGACATCTTCTTGGTTTTATGAAGTGACATTATGCAACCTGCTCTTTATCTGATTGTATCTGTACGACAGGGACCCAATAACATCAGTACTCACATATGCATTTGTGCTGAAGACTTGATTGATTTGGTGGAGGGAATCAAGGAATGGGGAATTCCATCTGAAGCCAATAGTCCCAAAACATACACTAGAAGTACTCCCTTGAATTCTCCATTAGTCAACTGTGATAGCTTGCTGAAATCAGAAGGTACATGCTTCCACTCTGTATACAAACAGAATTCTACACCACCACCAAATAAGATAATTATTATTTTTTAATTCAGGATGGTGATCAAGTTCGCTTTCATAGTGATATTACATGAAAGCTCCCCGAAAAAATGATCTAAAATAAGGGATTTTCAAATGTGACATTATATGCTGCTCCCTAATAGTTTCTTCATTCACTCTGCCAATGGTCTGTTCATTCTTTATCATCTGCCCTATTACTTGATCAGATGCAGAACTCAATTCCTTTTCAAAATCCTGGCCCAATTTTGGCCCTATGGCTCAAAATTTTGAAAAGAATTTAATTGAAGCAATTGCAATGACTGAACTGGGAGTGATGTACATAAAGGTGGCCTGTTCTTTGATTTTCATCCTCTCGTCTGCATAAGTTTCCTGAACTGTTTACCGGGTTATCTTTTTCAGGTACGAGGAATTGAAACAGTCACCACCTAAGATCCAAAGTCTGGGGAGTTTGTAATTAACACTCCATGTGAATCAGCTCAGAAGTACTGGATTGGAGGAGCAGCTAATTTTTTTTATTTTTTTTAAATCTGTTTCTTGCAAAAATATTGGTATTCATAGTTATCCTTTCAGCTCCAAAAAAATGTAAATTCGTGCTTATTTTCGACTCCCGCGATATTTTTTATCTAATACCCGAACAAATCCTTGGATACTCAATCCAAACCCTACCCCTCTCCCCATCGAAGCCCATTTCTTTCTGATTTGAAGCAATCTGGAGCTGTTGAAGCCCCAATCTTTGTGTCTTTGTCTGAAGCTGAAACAAAGATCTTCATAAAAGAGATCTCCATAACCGAAGCCCTAACCCCCTCTCTCTGTCATTCGAAGCAAACTCTGATAACCGAAGCCTCAATTTCTCTTTTATGCTTCTAGTGCTGGTTTGAAGCAATGATCAATTCATTTTGAAAGCTTTGGCGTCAAACCCCTCTGTTCATGGTTTAGTATTTTCTTTTCTTCTTTTTGGAATATTAATTTGGTGTTTGATTTATAGGTGTTTTACTAAATTTGCTCTATTCCTGTCTTATTTTCTCTTTCTAAGGCTAGTATTGTTTCGGGTAGAGGGCCGATTATCCTGGCTGGGAGGTTCAAGGGGAAGAGGGTTGTGTTTTTGAAACAGCTTGCATCTGGGTTCTTCAAGTTACTGGTGAGATTTTTCAGCATATTTTTGGTTTTAGCACTTCAGTTTTTAAATTTGTGCTTGTCATGAGTGTTTATCAGGGTTGTGTTTTTGTCTCTTGGTTCCAGTATCACTGTTATTATTATTATTCATTTTTTGATACTATCTATGTTTGAATTTGTTAATTATAGCTTTTTCATTACTGGGTTGATTTTTGGTGATAAAGTCTGGGTTAGAGTTTCGAAGGACGTGTTATGTTATGTCATGTTATTTATTTTGATAATTTCTTGTATTATTTACTTCTTAATTTTGGGGTTTCAAGTTTTGATAATTTAGTATCATTATTATTGAGGGTCAATTCTTGTTTTCTGTTAAATTTGGATTCTGGGTAAGTTGATTTCTTGAATCAAATTCTTGTTCCAAATTTCTAATTACAGTTCTGCTTTTAATCCCTAATTTTGTTGGTTTTATTCATGTTGGGTGGTCCATATTTGTGGTTTAAGCACTTCTTCAGTTTTAATCTTGTGCGTATCATAGGGTGTTTATGAGTGTTGGGTTTTTGTCAGTTGGTTCTAGTATCAATGTTCTTATTATTTTTTCAGTTTCTCTGTTACATTGGTTGATTATAGCCTTTTCATTACTGGGTTGATTTTTGGGGATGGAGTCAGGGTTTGTGGTTTTGAGGGGTGGATGGTTGTGTTATTTATTATCTCTTATTTTTGGGGTTTCAATTTTTTATAATTTAGTAGAATGGTTAATGGGATTCAAATTTTCAGTGTGAAATTGTTTAAGCTGTTTTTTTTTTTTTTTTTTTTTTTATAAATATTTATTATTTTCTTTCCCTAATATGGTTCAATATTTTGTTCTCATTTTGGATAACAGGCTAGATGTGTATAACCGTGATTATTTAGTAAGTGGGATTTAAAGGCTTCTTCTCAGGAGGCCATTCAAGCTGAAGGATAAATATCAACTGATCCTGTTGGTAAAGATTATTTTACAAATTATGTGAAGAGGGAGGGAAAAAAAAACTTTTTGGGCTATGAGTTTTGTTTGTTTCATGATTGTTTTAACTTTTGGATATTTATTGGTTTTTCAGCCATCGATGCTCCTGGTGGATTTTTCTTTGAATGGTGGTCAGTTTTTGGGATATATTCATTGTTAGGACTAATGAGAAGCACTCAGAGATTGCTGCATCTTACATTGAGGTTGGTATGAGAATTTTTTTCTCTAATTTATTATGGATGAATGTTATATGTAATGTTTTCTGTTGACAAGAACTGAGGTTGCTATTTGACGATTGCTATGATCTGTTTTCTTTGCATTGTACCCACAAAGTATGCTTTCTACTTTTGCAAAGTTCCAATTTCAGCCTCACTTTTGCAAAGTTCTCTACATGCTCAATTACAATGATTCTTTTCTTGGTTTTAATTTCCACAATCTCTTTTATTACTATCTTTGTACTACAAATCTTAACTACTTTGTACATCACTTGCCAAATAAAATTTAATTACTTTTCAAAAAAGAAGAAGAAGAAGATTTCACTTAGTTGCTTTGTGTCTGATTTATTAGAACAAGTGTTTGCTACATGACTGAGTTGAATCAGCATACATAATATCATTTAATATTAAATGTTTGAGCTTTAACATGTTAATTATATTTAGCATTGTCAAGTCTATTAGTATTCACTAGGGGTGGCAATATTTGACATGACACGCTAACACGACACGAGATAAGAGGGTTTGGGTTAATTGTGTTCATGTCGTAATCGTATTGACAAGGATTGACCCGTTAGCCAATTCATGTTTGACCCTGCTAACACGATTATGACACGATTAACCCGATTAACTAAACGTGTCGTGTTCGTGTCAAAAATGACCTATTTAACTAAACGTGTAGAATAAATGTGTCATATTTGTGTCAAAAATGACTTAAACGTGTCTTTTCGTGTCATTTCGCGTTGTGTCAAGTCTTGACCCATTTATTAAATGGGTTACGCGCGTCGTATCGTGTTACACGTATAATAATCGTGTCGTATTCGTGTTAAGGGATCTTGACACGATTAGTCATAATCGTGTTAACACGAACACGACCCGTCAACACGAATTGACACTCCTACTATTCCCTTTGTTATGATTGATTGCCCCCTTGTTTTTTCTCTTTGTAACTTTTCTGCAGTAGGAGTACTTTACATATGGTACGATGAATTTAAAGGACTAAAACAGATGTCTTATTGGTTATTCTGCATTTGTGTCCTTTAATTAAAAAGCAAACTTGGATGAATGCAACTTTTGAACTTGGATCGGTGACACTCAAGACGCTGAAAGCACTACAAGAAAATTGGTCTTATTGTCCCTTCTTTATTTTAAATGGTCTTATAAATAAAGCATTGATATAGTGATGACTTTTAAGCTACATGTTAGCTCTTATAAATTTTCTTTTATGTTATATGCTATGCTTTCTTTCTCAAATGTTTTTCAATTAAGTATGTCCTTTTCTCTAATATGTACAGGATCATAAGAGGAGCAGGCTTTACTAGTGCAGTGGACTGGTGGGCCCTTGGTAAGCTTGCATTTCTTCAATTTCATTGTAATTATGACCTTATTTTAAATAGGATAGAAAAAGACCTCTTCTTTACCCTCATTTATCTTCACAACTTTAATTCGATCGAATTGTCCAATAAAACAAAAGGACTAAAAAAAGAAATTGAAGAAATAGTAGCTTTTTCCTTGTGAAAAATTGCAAGGAACCCAATTGGAGATAAGTTTATTGATCAGAATATTTGTGAGGATTCTGCTCCTATTTGGTGTAATTATGTCATCTCATAAAGCAGACTTGTGTCTTTTATGTCATTTGGGACGAAGATAAGTGCTTCAGTTCTATCTTCGATATTTTATTGGGAACAAGGGTTGGGATGTAGTATGAGGGAGAGCGAGGAGCACTTTCCTATTAGTTCTGACTTCAATTCATTCAAGACAGCCTAGTAAAACTAATAATAGGGCCTCCTATGGTTGATTTTATGGTGGGATTAAGCTGAGGGAAACTTTAGACTTAGGGCTTTAATAGGTCACACCTTATATATATATATATATATATATATATATATATTCTTATAAATTTAATTATTTAAAAGAGTTGTCGTTTCTAGATTTAGTATCAAGAAAAACTATCTTTTCTACAACAAATATCGACTCAAGTATACAAAATTTACAATGTGAACAATAAGAAGTTGTCGCATGTCTGCTATATGTTGTTAACAATTGGCTTAGTTTTTATAGAAGAATCTTGGTTTGTTAAAAAAAAATTTACTTGTTGGATGGTTGCACTATTACTGGCTACATTTTGAACCCAAAGCATGGGTTATCAAGCACTTTATGTTTATGTATTTTGAGATGTGAGATTTATCAAATTCTAAATTCACTTATTTATTTATTTTCATTTAACAGAGGTAACTTGCAGATGCATATACGTTCCATGGCTCAGCAACTAATCACACGGAACGGGCTAAATTCCGATCCACACAGGGATGCTGAATTGAGTTGAAGCAAGATGCAGATTGGAAATGGTCTATAAATTTGCGATTAAATTTCTGGGACATCTCAGAAGTTAAGATACAATATAGGTTATGTTGAAGTTGCTTTCCATTTTGTCATCTATAGGACAAGGAAAACAAAATGACTCCGACTGAATTTGAAGTATATGCATTTATCCATAACATTCTTTTTGAACTTATAATTAGTAATCACTGTATCAAAAATTCGGATATCACTGTTGTAATACTTGCTTAAGCCATAAATGAGCAATAATGAAAGAATGACTCTTAAAGTGTCCTTTAATGAAATTGGAGAAAAAATAAATAAATCAAAGAAATCAACACTTAACTTTTACTTAAGCACTTAGCCATCAATTTTGTCTTATATTCATCATCCGTCAATTTTGTCTTTTATTCATCATACACCTCAAAATCACCAACAACAGAATACTTACAAGCTCTGGACAACATTTTGGTGCTTAAAGTGAGACAAAGGGAAAGAATAATATCATGCGTGCAAGTTTAGGAAATGAAACCTTAGAAAATTTAAGTTTCAAGTGTGCAAGTTTAGGCCCTGGTCTGCCCAAATGTCCGCACAAGCACCATTCTTGATCTTGAAGAGTGAGATCTGAGAATGGTGAGATAGAAAACATTTCTAGATTTGTATGTTATGGTAAAAAGAATGATTTGAAATCCTTTTGGTCCTTTTTTTCGGGTATGCCCCTTGGCTTCTGCAGTTGTTTTTCTTTAAATAAATTTATCTGAATTACCAAAAAAAAAAAAAAAAAAAAAATTGAAGAATCAATATGAATCCAATGTCTCGAGACCATTAATATTGCTTCTTGAGCTAAAGAAAAATGGAAGGGAAAGGAAATAATCTAAAAATGTCCCAAATTTGCAAGTTAGGAGTACATGAAAACTAAGAAAAATTTATTTCATATGATTTCAAAAAAAGATTTCCTGATTCAATATTGTCCAATATTAGTTTAAATGTTGTGTGAACCTACCAGCCACATTCTTCATGGTAAAGAGAATGCTATTAGAAAAATAATAATAAATTTAGTAGATAATTATCAAGATTTGTACGACCTATAGTTATAATCCAGTGGTATCAATCTCCTCAACCACCTGTCTAGGGTTCGAGTCATGTTAGGGAGAAAGTGAAAAAGACACGTTAATACATTCATCTACATAGGGCTTCAACTCCGGCGAGCTGATATAGCAACTCGTTTCCGGTTCCCAATACAGAATGAAGAGGATCTGAAGGGTGTGTTCAAGCTGGGTCCTCTTCACATAGGAGTCACGAGATCAAGATTGCGATACATACATGTGTGAAAAAGAATGCACTCTCTAAGGCCATTGATTTCGGGATTGTAATAGCTGGTGAGTACATAATGTGTAGGTGCATTTAACTGTAAAGGCAAAACAGTCATGAGAAGACCCTTCACTACAAATGCTTAGAGATATAACGGGATGTCGTGAAATGATTGATAAATGGGTGGCAGAGAGGCAGAAGTTGAAGTCCGAACTGAGGGACACAAAGTTGACTAGCTGACGAAAAAGGTGAACAAAATGAAGTTTTAAATCAATGACAAATGGAAGACCGAGGATTCTGAAGGTCAACAAGATACTAATCCAGAATGAAGATGATCTGCCTTTGCTTAAAAATCAGTGGCCCACACCAGACCAAACTCTGGATTGAGCTCCGGTTGGCCTGCCCAAATTACAATTAAATGCACCTACATGTACCTACAGATTACGTACTCAGCTACTACAATCCCGAAATCAATGGCCTTAGAACGGAGCCTTTCGCATGCATTCTTTTTCACACATGTATGTATCGCAATCTTGATCTCGTGACTCCTACGTGAAGAGCGAGCCAGCTTGAACACACCCTTCAGAATCCTCGGCCTTCCATTTGTCATTGATCCATAACTTCATTTTGTTCACCTTTTTGGTCAGCTTGTCAACTTTAATCTTTGTTTCGGACTTCAGCTTCTGCCTCTCTGCCACCCATTTATCAATTGTTTCACGACATGCCATTATATCTCTAAGCATTTGTAGTGAATAGTCTTCTCATGACTGTTATGAACAAAAACGAAAAAAAAAAAAAGTGAACCTGCTGCAATCTCATAGATAAGGTTGTCAAAAAGAACTGAAATCAGAAGAAAATTCTAAAAGTAAGCCTGATATAATTCATCCCAAAACAAACATAAATAAAACTTTCACAGGGTATATTATGCATCTAGAATTCATTATTCCTGCACAAACATTTCTTCCTGTTTCATGGACACCAGGTCCTGTTCAAGCTGATAATAGCTTGAAGAATTGGACTGATCATTTATTCTTTCTAGTCCAAAATTTTTCTAGCCGACCCATATCGAGTGAACCCATTTAAGTTTTTTACGTTAAAATTTTTTTTATGCCTGTGTATATATATGGATAAATTTTGCATTTTTAGACTACATAGTAAATAAGCCTTTTTTAAACAAATTAAACTGACAAGTCCACTTCTAAGGCAAAATTTTGCCAGAGATTTTGGTAGACTTGATGTTGAAATGACCAAAGGCGTAAGTATACCATTTTGACCAATTTAGATAGAACTTCATGCATATTTACTATATGTTTTACCACTGACTTTAGGAGGTTTTGGGTTTCTTACCATGACCATAGCCTTAGTGCACAGCTAGAACTCTTGCAAAATAGAGTTAATAAAACCATTTTCAATAACCATATTGCGTATCATAGGGAGGACCACTTTTCTCATAAGTTTTTCTAGGATTTTTAGGTAGGTTTTAACCCCTCATTTTTGTTTTTAGGGTCCCCATAAAACCCCTAGAAGTAAACCATAGAGCAAACTCGGTAAGACATTTTGGTATGGCTTTTCATAATTGTCAAATTTGATGTTTCTAATTTATTTTTAAAAATTGATTTTTGCCATTTTTCCAACACTTCTAAAGCAAATTTTATTTATGAAAAATTGATTTCGATTGCCCACATCAAATTTCTAGGTTGTCACTTGCTAGTTGCGCTTTTTTAGGCAGTTTAGGTCTTCTAGCTTAGGCACGTTTTTTGTGTCATTTTTTTAGTTATTTTTAGGCATATTTAGGCTTGATAGTTCAACTTCGACATCACCTTTGAGCCCCTAAGCCATGGTCTTAAATTGGTATTCTGCCAATATTTCGGTAAAAGATGTCAAAATAATCAATTTGCATGTTTTAGGGTCTTTAGGACAACAATTGGTTTTAAGACTTTTTACAACATCTTTGGAACCATTTTTACCATCCCAAACTCATTTTCAGAATCATCAGAAAAATTTTAGAAAAATGTACTATTTTTGCCATTTTTCCAATACTTCTAAAGCAAATTTTATTTATGAAAAATTGATTTCGATTGCCCACATTTCTAGGTTGTCTCTTGCAAAGCAAGCTAGTTGCACTTCTTAGGCGGTTTAGGTCTTCTAGCTTAGGCACATTTTTTGTGTCATTTTTTTAGTTATTTTTAGGCATATTTAGGCTAGTTCGACTTCAACATCACTTTTGAGCCCCTAAGCCATAAGGCTTAAATTGGTATTCTGCCGGTATTTCGGTAAAAGATGTCAAAATTATCAATTTGCATGTTTTAGGGCTTTAGGACAACCATTGGTTTTAAGACTTTTCCAACAACCTTTGGAACCATTTTTACCATCCCAAACTCATTTTCAGAATCAACAGAAATCTGTTTATTCAACCTCTAAAAAATCTGCCAAATTTATGATAAAGTACATTGAGTTCACTGTTTTATGCAGTTTGGATTCTAGACTTTGGCATATTTTTGTTATCATCTTTGTTATAGGATGATGTGCAAATTTTCACCCTTTAGATTTTACTTTCACATGCTGCATGAAGTCCTTAGGTCATGTCCTTGGAAATGGATTCTCTCCAATAGTTTTTTCTCCAAGTATCTCCAAGTCATTATCCAACTGCTATGAACTGCCACATCATCACTTGTGCAACTACCTACTATGTAATGCTTACATACACAACTAAATCATAACAAAAGTGATAATGTGGCATTGTTCATAGCCGTTGGATGATGGATTGGAGAGAAAAACTAAGAGAGGATCCAAATCCATGTCCTTAGCTATTGTTGACCGTATTCATAACATATTCAAATTGGTCACTTTTGGCACATTTAGGATTCAGATTATTTTTACCTTTTAGGCTCATAGGATTCTGGTCAATTTCATTATGTTGGATCATTTTTGCATTCCTAAGAACCAATCATGTAACATACATAGTCAAAACACTGCTGGAATTCTAAAATGTCTAGAACCAATCATTTTGCATTCTACATAGTTTAATTAGGCTTCTAATCCGCATAGGGTTCAAGCTCAATTGAGAATTCTAGTTCATTCAAAGATCTAGTTCAATTAGGAGTTCATAGACTATTATAGAATTTCGTTTTATTCAAAACTCCATTCCATCATAAATTTCGTTCTCCTAAGAAATCTAATGCATTTAGGGGTACCATTTATTAGAAGTTGGTGGACTCTCACTGATGATGGTATCCTTAGGGGATTTAAGCACATACAAAAGGTAAGCAGTTTTTTGGTCCAATTGTTTTCAACCATGGAACCCATTTAAGTTTTTTACGCTAAAAACTATTATATGCCCGTGTGCATTCATATGGATAAATTTTGCATTTTTAGATTACATAGTAAATAAGCCTTTCTTAAACAAATTAAACTAACAAGGAGTTCACTTCCTAAGGCGAAACTTTGCCATATTTTGGTATACTTAATGTTGACATGACCAAAGGCGTAAGCTTACCGTTTTGACCAATTTAGATAGAACATCCAGCATATTTTATATGTTTTACCACTGGCTTTAGGAGATTTTAGGTTTCTTACCATGACCATAGCCTTAATGTACAGCTAGAACTCTTTCAAAATAGAGTTATTAAAACCATTCACATTAGCCATATTGCGTATCATAGGAAGGACCACTTTTCATAGGTTTTTCTAGGATTTTTAGGTATGTTTTCACTTCTCATTTTAGAGGTCCCCATAAAACCCCTAGAAGTAAATCATAGAACGAACTCAGTCAGAATTTTGATATAAATTATCAAATTTGGTGTTTCTAATTTCTTTACAAAAATTGTACTATTTTTGCCATTTTTCCAACACTTCCAAAGCCAATTTTATTTATGAAAAATTGATTTCGATTGCCCACATCAAATTTCTAGGTTGTCTCTTGCAAAGCAAACTAGTTGTACTTTTTTAGGCGTTTTAGGTCTTCTAGCTAAGGCATGCTTTCGTGTCAATTTTTTAGTTATTCAGGGAATTGTTCACTTCCCAGTTTTCTATCAAATAATCATACTCGTTTTCATTTTTATCTTTATTTGGGATTTTGATTCTTCCACCAGTAGTTAGTCACTCCCTTCTTAGGGAACCGTACGTGAGACTTCTTCATCATACGGCTCCGTCCCGAGCTTCCATAGTCAGCCCTTGTCATTAGACCACTATCTATGCATGTATTTTCAGCCTAGATTTAGTTAGCCAACTTAGCCTAACAACCTTATTGGAGGTGTACCGTCCGAGCAATCTTATAAAACTTCAGAACTTCTCCATTAAATAAAGAAATTTTGTTTTTGTACAAGGGACGCATTCCCCTTTTGAATGCTTTTTCTATTCTATCTTTACTTATCATAAAAAAAAAAATTAAAAAATTAAAAAAAGGATAAAGAAAGCTTTTCGACCGATGTATATAATGCAGTTAGGCTTTCCGAAACTGAGGAATGTATGACCTGCATCATAAGATTGAGAGACTCAGGACAATAAAGGGCAAGAAGGCGGCCTAAGCATAGCTCTCGGATGGTTTATTACAGGGTTACAAAAAGTACATCTTCCATAGGGAGGAATCGGTGCTTTGTTCGTGCACTGATGCAACATATAATCTTTCCTTCCTGTAACATTTGCTTATTCTCTTTCTTATTTGTATGGATTTGAAAGCGGGAATAAGAATCAAGCCCCACCGGGTATGATCTAATCAGGAGTTTGCTTCCTAAAGTGAATTGTAAGAGCGGGATGCTTAAGACCATGTGAGCATATTACTACTTTCAATTAGATAGGGATCGGAATGAACTCAGATTTTAGGCAATCAAAGAGCTAATGGGAAATGATACGTTCACTGACTGGCACCATTCTGAACTTCCTCAGAGGCTGGAGAGTGAATGTCCAACGAGGAGGGCCTGGCTTGGTCCAGTTCCAGGTGGTCAACCTTTTGCTCCACCGCCGTTAACTGTGCAACTAAGTCTTGCAGCCTATTCTACCCAGAGATATTCCTAAGGGCCGCAGTCTTCAGGCAAGCAATCATCCCGCCCAAATCTCCAGTCAGTTGGCTGAGCTCAAAGTTAGGTTAAGTAACACCGTGCTCAAACTCAAAGTGAGTGGCAGGGTCGTATAATCGCCTTGGTCATCACACTTCTAACCTGAAATCCCGCTCGACAAATAGAGGAAAACTCGCGTGGCTCGAGCGAATCCTCCCCCTACATAATGACTATCTTGCCTTTGTTTTTCCTTTTTCTTATTGGGATTGTGTATGGGATTATGGCATACAGGGTGGTGGACAGGTTCTGCAAGGAAAGAGTTTCCTCTAGTACCTCCAAATTTCCTTTTTTTGAAAAGATCCGTCCAAAGTTTCAAAGTTCCTATTGATACAAAAAGCCACTCAATTTATTGGAATAATTCCCCTAAAAATTATTATCCAAAATTTCAAAAAAAGAGAAAAAGAGATCAAGAAATCCCTAAAAGTAAACTAATACAAACATTTAACACAACTAAAAACCTAAATAAATTCACAGAATATCACATAAAATTTACATTCAAATCATTATTGAAAACATTACTTATTATGTAAAGAATTATATTGGAGTTTTTTTACAAATAATCGAAGTCTCCTTAAAAATCATTATCCATTCCAAAGGCAAAAAAAAAAAAATAGATCAAGAAATCGCTATACTAAAAGAAACCTTTAACACAGGTAAAAACCTAAACAAATTCACAGAATCCTTGTCAAGAATTATATTGGAATTATATTATGAAGCGAACCATGATTTCTAAACAACTTAAAATGAACTACAATCTCCATTCACAATTCCTAATCTTCCTAACATAACACGAAAATTAATCGAATAAAGTTCAATTCACACTATAATCTCCATTTAAAACCAGAAGCTAATGATGATCATCAACAAACATCAAAATGGTCCTGGAGAAACCATAAATACACTATGATCCGATCATTATCCAAGAAAAATTAGGTCAAGAAATCGCTATACTAAAACAAATACATAAGTCAAACCTGAATTTCCCGAACAAAGCCGCCGTGGGAATGGATGCCGAGAACTTAGAAACCCTAAAACACTTTCGTGGACATCTTCTTTACATACTTTGTGCGAGTTCCCGCCTCTAGATCAATCTCAATCGTTCATCCAAGTCAATCCAATGGCTGGTGTTGATTTATTTAACCTCAGATCTAAATGAACCGAAAACACTTCCGCTCTAATTCCTCACTCTCTTTGACTTGGTCTTTGCTTATTTTCATAAATAAATTAAACATAAGTTCATTTTTTAAACTCGTTAGTAAATAAGTGGAGTTTGATTAATGCTAAACTTAAATCGTGAGCTCGCAAATATACTTATTTAGTCCCAGTTCATATATATTTTTATGACCCCAATCAGTATTCTTACAAATAAATAAATAAAATTTATTTAATTATGTATTACTTCCTTCCCTTATTAGTTATGCATCTTTAATTTTATAATTTTTTAAGGGAACATATAATTAATACATTGTTTTCTTTTAAAATTATTAAATTATCCTTTTTAATTTATATATATATAGCCACAAAGTTTGAAATTTTTTAAAATGATAAAGGACAATAATGAAATTATAAAGAAAAAATGTTTTAACTTTTTAAAAAGGACAACTAATTTGGGATATGTAAAAAGAGAAAATGGACTTCTAATAAAAGACAGGGGGAGTAGTCCATTTGTGCCAACCCATGAAGAGTCGGGCACATGTTTATCAAGTCATGTTCGACAAGAACACGACAATTTCATTGAAATGTCTGTATTTCTTAGCTTAAGTTACTATATTATAATTATAATTTTATAAGTTCGTTGAAATAAAAGACTTGATTGAAACTTGGGTCATACTCACGTTTTTTGTTACGGAAACTAAAAACTCTTGTCTCCCTTTGGGATTGTGCTAAAATTCGATGGGGCCTAGAGTGGTTCAATTTCTAGTCTAAATCTCTAAAACCAATTTCTTTTTGAGTTAAGATTCAATCTCGCTTTCTTTTCTTTTCTTACGTTTGTTTTTTTTTTCTTAGACAAGTATTTTACATTAATGTCAAGTCATAGACAAATACATTTATCATTAATTTTGGCACACGTACATTAATTTTGTTCAAAATTTTGAACTTGATCTTCTACACTAGAAAATATCACTAGGGAAAAAAAATCCTTGGTGGTCAATATTTTGATTCTTGTGAGTTGTGAAGTAGTTTTTCTATTAATACTATGTAGGGCTGCAACTTGGGTGGGCTAACCCAGCCCAATCCAAGTCTAACCCAGAAATTTTGAAATTGGGGCTTATATACACAAATTAGGTTCATGTTCGGATTGAGTTTTGTCAAAATTCAGACATATTCGAGTTGGGTTCGGGCTCAATCCAAACCCAGCCCAAAACCCGATTTTTTTTTTTTTTTTCTCTCCTTTCTCTCTCCTCTTTCTTCTTTCTCTTTCTCTCTCTCTCGCTACCGCCGTCCATGCACTTCTCTACACACACTGTCAGTGATAGATTCATAACTCGCGATGGTTTCTCTCTCCACATGGTGTCAATACATAGTCCACAAACTCGAGTACTCCATCTCTCACAGCTGGAAGGTCCCCCAAATCCTTCCCTCTCCCTCTCTCTCTATATATATACACACACACATATATGTGTATAATTTATCTGTGATTCATTCTGGTATTCCCAAATTGCTCCATGTTTTTTCATTCCTCACATGATTAGCAGTTATTTCAATTAGTTTATTGTTAGGCCAATTTTTTAGCAAATGTTGTGAATGGGTTTTGTGCATTCACGGATATATGTTCAAACGATTTACTGGCTCTTTGTGGATTTGTATAAAAATAATAATTTTTTTTTGTGAAATTTTTCATCATCGGGCGATTGCAGATCTCATATACATGTGTTTATATATATATATATATATATAAATGTGTGTAAACGCATAGAATGAAGTTTAAGAGGATACACAATGCGATTGGAAGAGCTTTGAGTGATGAGAACAGCTAGTAGAAATACAGATAGATAAACTGAAATATATAGGTTTTGAACTTCTGATTCTTGTTGCTTTTGTAGTTTGCAGTTGCACAGAGAGAGAAAAAGGGGGCAATTTCTGAGTTGAGAATGAGAATAAAGATGGAGGCGATTGGGAAGGCTGAAATGAGTTGCCCTAAAAAAATATATTTTTTTAATAATAATATAATCAAATATATATAATATACATATATATATATATATATTATATATATATATATATTTCCAAAATAAAAAAAAAAAAATTGAAAACTCAAACCGTTAACCCAACCCAACCCGCCCAAAAATATTTGATTCGGATTCTAACCACAGCCCATGTTGGGTACAATTCGGGCTGACCCAACCCAACCTGATTCGAGTTGAGGTTGGATTGGGGCTAGACTGGGTTGGGCCAGCCCATTTTGCAGCCCTAATACTATGTAGAAATGACCACACATTACTTAATTGGTCTCAAATTATCAAACCAATGTTTTTTTTCTTTTTCTTTTTAAATAGGAAATTAAACCAAATACCAATACTCACAATAATCAATCCCTTTATTGGGAGTTTGATGGTGTGGCATGGTTTTAGCTTCCCTAGAATATGTATCCATCATATCTCAAATCTTAGCATATTAATATAAATTATGCATTTTGGTAATTTAGCAAGTCCATTTAAATCAACTAAAATGGACTACAACAATATTTGAAATCAAAAATTGCAAAACCTAGTCCCAAGCCAAACTAAGTTGGCTTCTTCTCAAAAGAAGTCGATCGGCTTCTTCTCTGAATGAGTCGGCTTCTTTAACAACTAAGTCGACTCAGTTTCAATTAAGTCGGCTCATTCCTATTGCGGTTCATCTTCTTCATCTCCGGGCACTGTAATTCACCTATAACTCCCTCGTTATGGGTTTTAATCATGCATTCTAAGTCCCAAACGTTCCCAATAATTTAATTAAAACATTTAGGCATGTATAGATTAAGATTAAACAGCAAAATCATGCATTAAATCCCAAGTTCATATAAATCAAGAACACATATATAAACACATATAAACGCTCTGTTTTTAAATCCGATTTACATGCAAACTGGTTCATTAATCTTGTTTAATCATCCTAAAGTCATCTTAGGCATGTATTGAATACAGAATCTAAGGAGAAGAGTAGAACAGAGAACTTGCTTAAGGTTTCGGAATAAAAATCCAATCTCCTTCTTTCTCCGGCCTATTTCTGAACCCGGCAGCCTATGGTTGTCGTCATTGCCTCTATGCTTCTCCCGGACTAACTCACGAACATCCTTTATTCTTTTCCCTCTTGGTTCGGCCTTGCTTCCTTGACCTTCGCTCACAATCTCTCTATTTTCTCTCTCTGCGTTTCTCATTCTCTCTCTCTCTGCTCTCTATACTACTAACGTAATAATAGCCTCTAAAAGACTTAATACATATGTATATATAGGCTATAATATAACCATAATCCTAATCCTTTTATAGTATTGGCTTAATGAAAACGAAAAGGAAAATAAATATATACTAATAATAATAATAATAATAATCATAATAACAATAATCATAATACTATTGCATAAACTTACAGAAAAGGAATAATAATAATAATAATAATAATAACAACAACAACAATAACAACACAAAATATATATATATATACACACACCTATGGGTCATAATCCTTACCCCTCTAGGCTTCCTTTTCAAGTTGTGTATGAGACCTATTTGGTTGGTCCATTACTATTAACCCAAATTCATTCCTTTAAGTACAATTAAAAATAAAATAAAATAAATATTTAACCTAACAAATTATTACAAACAATTAAACAATCAATTACATATAATTAAACAATCAAATACACACAATTAAATCACATAAAACATAGTCATATAATCAATTAAAATGCAATAAAAATAAATAAATAAATCCTCTGAAAATTAAGGGTATTGCACCGCCTTCCACCACCGTTGCCGTCGCCGCCGCTGCCACCACCACCACCACCACCACCACTATCGCCTTCCACCACCACCACTGCCTTCTACCTCCGCCACCGCCTTCCACCACCACCACGTCTATTGCCTTTCACCACCACCACAGTCACTTTCATTAACTTCCACCATTGCCACCTACACCACTATCTCATTTCACGACCACCATCACCACTGCCACTGCCTTCCACCACCTCCATTGTCACCGTTTTCTGCCACTTTCCACCAACACCTTCGTCACCACCTTCCACTACCGCCACCTCTGTTACCTTCCACCACCACCACAATCACTTTTATTGGCTTCCACCATCGCCACCGTCACCTACACCACTATCTCTTTCCATCACCAATACCACACTACTACCACCTCTTTCCACTAACACCACTGCCGCTTTCCACCACCATTGTTGTGATACCCCTCAAATCCGAGACACGAGTTGATCGGGCCCAGGCCCACACCCGAGGGATATCAAACAATTAATATTTTAAAATGAACACGGAATACAAAAATGAATTAAGAAATGAAATTAAAGCTGAAAGGAACTAAAAATAGAATCCGCAAAATATTATAATTATTAAAATCCATCAAACCCAAACTCCAAAACTCCATCAGTTTACAACTCAGGAATCCATCTCTAGTGAACCCATATTAAACATCCAAACGAAAAATAAAACAACTGTAATAAGCATCTAGAAAAAAACTATGGAGAGAATCCTACATCGTCGGAAGAGTGAATAAAGACCTCTGCTCAGCACGAACACGTCTAAACCTGGAACTGTCGTGTACCTGAAAAATAGAAGTGGGTCAGGCCCACGCGCAAGTTCGATACTACTATAATCTAAACAGAGGTCCGATACGCATGTACATCCTAAACAATTCAACAATAGCTAATAGTCCGTAAGTGTATATATATATAGTCACACTAAATGACTCTCACTGGACTACAGGCCGGTCTCAACCTGAATAGAGGTAACATGCTAAAACGCACACGAAGTGGGCATGTGTACCTAAACCTACACAGGGTACACCTCTAACCATTGTATCCAGTTATGTATCCCAATGCATATACGCTCCTTAACCGTCGATTCTGAGACTCAAGCTCATATCGAGGTACCATAACCATATATTTAAAATCCATCCTGTATCCTAGCAGTGCCGTTCAACTAATCGTTGCCATGACACTACAATCAGTAGGACTTAACTTTTAGTTAATCCAATTCTTAATCCAGAGTAAGTA